GGGGGGCTAGGCTTGTAACCAAGCAGGACACCTCAGAGCGGGGGAAGCCAGCACAGGTCATGGGCAGCAAGAGTCCTGGGCTTGCTTTCTCAGAAGCCACCTGCTTGCTCTTCTGCTTCTGTCCTTCAGGAAGCAGAGCTGCAGAAGATGCACAGCCCACATCTACCATGGGCTTTTTGGTTCTCCTGATGTAGGAGAGGGCACTGCACTTTTATTCCTCCGGTTCTCCTAGAAGACATTAGAAAGGATGTAAACTGAGCCTAGCATTTCTATATGTTACTCATTTACAAATCTTGAACCCAGATTTGATGAACTGGCTCAGCCACTTGCTAGCCCTGTGACCTACTTAATGGGGTAGCTGTGATGATTAAATAATATTTTTGAACTGCTTTGTCATTGCAGCATCAGCATCGTCACAGCTGCTAACACTTACTAAGTGTTTACAAGGTGTCATCAATACGGTATGACTCATTATCTGAGCCCTCATAACAGGGTATTGTTACCAAGCCCACTTCCCAAACAAAGAAACTGAACGTAAATGCCAAGCCTACGGCCACACAGTGAGTAGCAGAGCCCCGTGCTGTGGGACCCTAGATCCACTCTTCACCACTTTGCTCCTTTTTTTTTTTTTTGTCTTTTTCCTTTTTATCGGTACCGGGGATCGAACTCACGACTGCCTGCTTGCAAGGCAGGCGCTTATGCCGCTGAGCTAAATCCCCAGTCCCTCACTCTTCACCACTTTGCCACTTTCCTGGTGCACACAGTAAGCACTCAGTAAACGATGCTTCCTGATGAGAGCGGGTATTGAACTTAGCTGTAGAGGCACGTGGCATGAGATGTGATACTCGTGCTTCCAGCCTGAGTTGTGTTTTTGTTTTGGTCCTGTCCATTCTGTTGTTGGGGCCCCCATCTATGCGACACTGACTCTCCGCTGCTATTCTTCCGGTGCCTGCTGGTCTTGCTGGTTCCCGAAGTAGCTGCAGCCTCTCTGTAGCTACGGGAAAGCATCCCTGCTGTATGCTAACTTTTGTGCTGTTTGGTGGACCAGCTCTCAAAGTATGAGCTTCTGCTGTTGATATAGCTCCTCAAGGTCTCACTTCACCGACTCATGAACATTATTTTCCTCTTGCTCCTTTCAAGATCTGTGCTGAGTAACAGAATCTGTCTAGGGTCTCCTGTCACCTAAGGCGATGGAAAATGGTTACCAAGCTGCTTGCTGCAGAGCACAGAACAAGTAGGCTTTGGAGCCACCTGCTAGTGAAAGAGCGTTAGTTACTGAGAGCAAAGTGTGCCATTGTTTCTTTGCACCTGAGCTTACATTTAGCCAATTGTTGTGGAATCAGTTTGATCAAGAATATGGGTTCATTATTGTTAATCATTTCTGCTAATGCTGAGCATTTGCTGGTTGCCAGATCTGTGCTATTTGTGTGATTTTCCCCACTCAATTCCCTAAAGCAGCAGCATTCAGTAGAACTTGCTGCAGTGATGAAAGTGCTCTGTATCTGCACTGAAACAGTAACCGCTAGCCAGTGTGGCAATTGAGCACTTGAAATGTGGTATAGAACTATAGCTGAATTGTTAGTTTGGTTTCCTCTTAAATTTAAATAGCTACATAAGGTGGCTACATTGGTAAGCTCATATCTAAAAAGTCCTTTTATTTATTTTTTTGGTACTGGGGATTGAACTCATGACCTTGCACTTACCAGGTAAGCACTTAAGCTACTGAACTGAATCCCCAGCCCTAAAAAAGTCCTTTTAACTTGAGTTATAGTTGAGAAAGTAAGAGAGTTGGGGGGTTGGTAATTTACCCATATTATTCCACCCTGTAATCATAGAACCAGGCTTTGGATCCAGGCTTCCTGCTTCCTGAGCCCTCTTCAGCATCGTGGCTATATTCTTCCTACTGGACTTTTCACAGAAATTGTTTTGTGGTTACAGATTGCTCCCTACCTCACAGTACTATGGGTAGATATGCAACCCATCTTAAAATTAATGTGCTGTGGGGCTGGGGATTTAGCTCAGCAGCATAAACGCCTGCCTTGCAAGCGTGCGGTCATGAGTTTGATCCCTGGTACCAATACAAAAAAAAAATTAATGTACTGTGATATATATATATATATATATATCCCTAGCCCTTTTCTCAGTTTTTGTTTTAAGATAGGTAGGCTTGAATTTGCCATCCTCCTGCATCAGCCTCCTAGAGTGCTAGGATTACAGGAGTGCACCACCATGCCTGGCTTCAGCAACTCACCATACAGCAGCACCCACACAAGACAGAACAGGTTTTTTGGTGCTTGATACCAAAGAATTAGCGATCATATGCATGTTTAGCAATAGTTGGGCTGGGGTTAGAGGGATAGCATTTGCCTAGAATACAGGAGGTCCTAGGTTCAATTCCCAGCACCACAGCGAAACAGAATCATTAAAGTATAGTATATCGTGTTTTTAATACAGTATGAGTATGAAAAATGAATATAATATACATGTGATGCACTGTGGTGGGGGTCATCCCAATTCTTCTTTTTAGCACATCCCTGTTTGCTCTGTCCAAACTCACCCTGATGTCACCTTGGTCCCAGTTGCCTTCTGCCTGCCAGCAGGCTCCTCAGAGTGCTCCCAGATTTGGTTTCTTTCTTTGTTTGTTTTTGTCTTTTTAAGACAGGGTCTCATTATGCAGTTCAAGCTGGCCTTGAGCTCACTTTGTAGCCCAGGCTGGTCTCGAACTTGCAAGTCTCCTGCCTCAGCCTTCTGAGTGATGGGATTTCAACCATGTGCCATCACACTCAGTCCGTGTGATAATATCTTTTAGGCAAAGCAATAATCAGAACAATGAGTATATCTTGTTCTTTGCTTTTTAATTATATTTCTTTAGCTCTGCATATGCAGGGAAAACTTGAGGGGACACCTGCACACCAAGCTGTTGGGCCTGGGGAGCAGGGAGCTAGAGGTCCTCATACTTTTTACTTATCTCCACGTTGGTAATAAGCAAATGTTTTCAGAATGATTTTTTTTAAGTTATCTTGTCCATGAGAAACAGGGAAAAATGTAAATCTGAATCTGAATTTAACTAAAATAGTATTGAGAGATTTCACTTCTCCTTGCTTTAGCCACTTGTTTATAAATAATGCTTACATATAGGTGTACACGTTTTCCCTGTTTTCAAATGCTATGATATCTATGGCTACTTTTATTGTAGAAATGAGTAAGCCTCTGTTTACTTTTCACACCTATTATTTATTTATTAATTTTGTGGTACAGAATATTAATGGGCAGGACTAAGCGTCCGTTCTTCCGCTGAGCTATGTTTCCATACTTGTTTGATTTTTTTTTTTTTTTTTTTTTTGAGACAGGATTTCACTGTGCAGTTCAGGCAGGTCCTGAACTTTGAATTCGCTCTGTAGCCCAGGTTGGACTCTCACAGTGATCCTGTTGCCTCAGCCTCATGAGTGCTGAGATTACTGATATGTGCCACAATGCCTGGCTGATCTCTGATCTTGAAATATTTTTTGAAAAACATTTTTTTTTTTTTTTTTTTTTTGCAGCATTAGGGTTAAACTGAGGGCTTTGTGCGTGATAGGCAAGTGTTCTACCACTGAGCTACAGTTCCAGCCTCTTCTCAGTTTTATTCTGTCTCAGCATCTTTCAACATTGCAGAGGCTGGCCTCAAACTTCTAATCTTTCAGCCTTGGCCTCTTGAGCAGCTGGGATTACAGGCCTCTGCCATTGCACTGGGCTTTAAAAAAAATTGAAAGAAACTTGACTCCAGGGTTGCAGTGCTTTACAATGTATAGGAATGCCTTTAGCCATTGCCAAGAAGCAGTTGTGCAGGTGTCATAGCTTGTCTTGTCTTATAGCTCTAGAATCTTCCTTCCTGGTCCTCCAGTTTGCCCCCTGGAGCCTGCAGACCTTGCAGGATTTAGGTCTGTCATCATCTTACAGGAATGCTGGGCTTGTGCAGGACCATCAAGAAGAGAGATCTTTTTGTTGTGGAGGTGGATGGCTAGGCTTCTCTGAAAGTGCCTGCTTATCGGTACGGTTAGTGCATCTTGCCTGCTGCAACCATCTCTGCCACTGCTTTTAGAAAGGACTCGAGAACACATTTGTCCCAAGAGCTTAAACCCAGACCGGAGATCTGTACATCTTTCAGCCATTGGGAAGGCAGCACTCAAATGGGACATGCGAACAAGGACTGCCAAGACTTTCCCCAGAGCTTTGCATCAAAGAGGCTCTCCCTCTCTCACTTTGGCAGCAGGAACTCAGTCTGAGTTCCCTAGCAAGGCAGATAAGCTGTCCTCACCTAATGGGCCTGCTCTGTACTCGAGGTCATCTCATCTGCTGTCCATATCTCCGTGCAGCAGTCCAGACTGGGAAGTGCCCTTGGTGTAGGGCTCAGTGGGAGCCTGGAGTGTACCTAGAATTGCACCCAGTCTTCCCAGTTTCCTCAGGCACGCCTAGTGCTCGTATCATCCTCTAGCAACAAAGCCATCAGAGCAGGCCCATCAGCCTTTACTGTGTGTGGAGGGCAGCCCCAAGCAGGGCCAGCATGCTGTACAGCTCCGTGTGTGACTTAAATATGTGCCCTGTCTATGGTCACCCTGGAGTTGTGCAGATGTGACCCTGACCTGAAGCATAGGACCACCAGACACCTGTGCAGACGCTATAAATCCCTCTCTAGCATCAAATTGTCACTGTGCAATGTGCTCTTGAGACCTTTTAGGAATATGGCTGGGAAGAGATGGCCTTTGCCTCCTGGAACCCCGGAGTAGGCAGAATCTCAGCAGAATAGGGCAGGCTGAGGGGAACTTTGATTTGGTTATCGTGGCTGTATCATTTGCTGGTACTTGTCTTTTGCTTTTTGTTGTTGTTTTTGTTTTTTTTTTGGAGCAGAGATTGAACTCGCAACCTCACAGGTGCCAGGCAGGTGCTCGTGCCACTGAGCTAAATCCCCAGCCTCAGCTGGTGTCTGTCTTCCTCTTTATCTGTCTATGTTTCTTTTGCAGCTGCAGAGCTACTTTGCTGCATGTGAAGATGAGACCCCTGCCATCCGGAACCACGACAAGGTCCTCCAGCGCCTGTGCGAGCACCTGGACCATGCACTGCTGTACGGGTAGGTGCGGGAGTTCGGAGGGCCAGGTGGTTAGCTCACTCATCCATCCCAGCACGGCAGGATGACTGAGAAGCGCTGGGGTGAAGGCATGCTGGGGACCTGGGGGACCTGTTGTCTGCAGCTTGCTGGGGTGACCCCACCCAGGCTTCAGCACTGTTGTCCTGTCCTCACAGACTGCAGGACCTCTCATCTGGCTACTGGGTGCTCGTGGTGCATTTCACTCGCAAAGAGGCCATCAAGCAGATTGAGGTGTTGCAGCACGTGGCCACCAACCTGGGGCGCAGTGAGTTGTGGCAGGGAGAGGCAGGATGGAGACAAGCCATGCCCTTCCTTTGGGAGGCTGACTGCCTTGTGATGTCCATGACAGTGGGGCTAAAGTGCCAGCACCCTACTCAAGGCCTGTTTTCTCCTTGTGTGTGATAGTTTTGGATGCATCAGTGAAGGGAAGCATTACATGGTAGAGGACAGGACCCCTTACATCCCAGGCAAGCACACACAGAGAAGTCATGTTTCTCTGCAGATTAGGGCCGCAGAATCAGGGCAGCATGCTTGCCTCTCAGCCCATGTGCAGTGTGCCAGCTGCCCTCTCAGGCTGTCCCAGCTGGCAATAGGCTAGGGCCTAAGCTTTTGGAGTACTGCTCCCGCAACTGGTTTGTTTTTTTTTTCCCTTACTGCCCTAGCTTGGCAGAAAGCAAAAGCCACACCCTGACAGACCGCCCTTTGAGTTATTCCTGCCTCTGTTGCAGGCCGGGCCTGGCTGTACCTGGCCCTCAATGAGAACTCCTTGGAGAGTTACCTGAGGCTGTTTCAGGAGAACCTGGGCCTGCTGCAGAAATACTACGTCAGGTGAGTGTCTGCAGTGTGGGAAGACCCACAGCACACTAGTAGAGGCCTAACCTGGCATCCCATGCTGAGGAGGCGGCACTGATGTCCAGAGAGCTATAGGAGGCTTGCTGGCAGTGTGGTGCTTCCCCTAGGGACGCCGAGGTGCTGCCTGCTCTCCTGTGTACAGTCTCATATTCCATCCACCTGACCCTCCACCCAGGCCTCAGGCTGACCGAATGTTCTACACTGACCTCAGCCTTTGCCAGGGTTGCTGTAGGGACAGAGTATTTATAGCACCCATTGAGAGCTTGCTGTGCCTATGCCACAGGCCCATCTCTGGAGCCCCTAGCCTGTAAGAACAGGGTGCAGAACCCTGGAAGGAAAGGCGTGGGGACGGCTGTGTCACATGGGTGCTGTCCATGTGCTAGAGCTGTTATGTGTGTAGTTGCAACACATTTGGCTCACTGTTGAGGTTGGGCTCAGCTGGCAGCCAGATTCAGGAGTGCCATTGTTGCTTCTCGTGTCTTGCAGGAATGCCCTGGTCTGCAGCCATGATCACCTCACTCTTTTCCTGACCTTGGTGTCTGGGCTGGAGTTCATCCGATTTGACCTGGAGCTGGTGAGATGTCCTTCCTCTGGAAGAAACAGAGGATGGGGCAGTGGGGACAAGGACTTCATTTTTCAAGTCCTTTGGGGAGATTGCTGGCCACATGAGCTTGAGCAGTGCCTGTTTGTTCAAGTGAGGGAAGAGCTTCCAGGTCAGTGAAATTGAAGTGGAGGGGAGTACTTTGGTCTTTTGGCTGATGGCAAGAATTCCTGGTTCAGGTAACTTTTCCTATCTCTTTCCAACATGGAGAAAAGCCACATAGCCTGGAGTAGCTTATCCCAGGAGGATTTGCCTTCATATTTAGGACATAAGTGTGTGAGGGACAATGTGAATTTATCCCTGTGCATCCTAGAATTCTGGAAAGGGGCAGTGGCCCCATGCTTCCCACCCTGTGTACTCTCTGCTACCCTCTTCAGATTCCCTGGCTTCCTTCACTCCTGCACTGTCCAGTTGTGCTGTCTTCTCCACAGGGCGATGAGTGCCCGTAGGGTGCTGCACGTAGGGTGAAACCCTCTACATACCATGTTTCTTCTTGTCTACACGCACTATTAGAGTTAGTCCAGAAATCAGGCACAGTAGGAGATAACAGTCACAGGCTATTAGTAAAACAGAAAAATTATAATCACGCAAGTTACTTAAAACTTATGAATTGTTTACTTCTGGAAGTTGTCACTTAATATTTTTGGACCGTGGGGAACTGAAACCAAAGAGCATGAAGCCGTAGACACAAGGGAGACTGCCACACAGGCAGGGTACTGTCCCATAGGGGCTTCAAAGCGCTTCTTGGGCTCATCATATTAAGATGAATGTGCTACCTCCTCTTGATCAAACTACCCTGCTTGGTCCCTGTCCCAAAGCACATACTGAAAAAGAAACTTGGCAGAGTAGAAAGTGAAGAAAGTGAGCAATCTTAATAGTAAAAGAGGTCAAGGAGTTGTCAGAGGGCATTTGAGACTTCTGATTGCTCTCTCCTCTGTGCATGTGCCTGTGTGCGTGCGTGTGCAGTGCTGGGGCTGGAACCCAGGCCCTGCTAGGCAACACTGTACCACGGACTCCCCATTTATTTATTTATTGCTCTTTTATTTGTCACCCCAAAGTGCACAGGTATAGAAGCTGGAACCATTCATACTTTCTTCAGCAGCTTGGCCCTGAATTTACCATATCAACCCATTGATTTTCCCAAAGAAAAAGCATAGGGGAGAATGTAACAGATCTGTGTGTCCCAGGCCTGGATTCTGCTGCCCATGGAAGGTCACATTCTGTGGTCCACCTCTCCCCCTCTTTCCCTAGGATGCCCCTTACTTGGACCTGGCACCCTACATGCCTGACTATTATAAACCTCAGAACCTGCTGGATTTTGAAGACCGCCTGCCCAGCTCAGTCCATGGCTCGGACAGCCTGTCTCTTAACTCCTTCAACTCTGTCACCTCCACCAACCTCGAATGGGATGACAGTGCAATTGCTCCATCTAGCGAGGGTAAGTGGCCCCTGGTGGAAGGAGCCGCACCCTGACCAGACTTCGAGCTGCCTCACCCTGGCTGGGTGGTGTCTCCCTTGGCGGCCGTGACCAAGTGGTTAACTGCTGTTCACCAGTGCTGGCCTTTATCCAGATCTAGATTTCCTCAGAGTTGCTGTGGTGGCTAAAAAAGTAGATTCCAAGGACCAAGGGTTCAGTTCAGCAGTTGTACATAAGCGTCTACCTAGCAAGCACCAGATCATGAGTTCAATCCCCCGTGCCCCCACACACACACCCAAAAAAAAAAAAAAAAATGATTCCACACATGAAAAAACAAACCAGAATTTTATGAATTTTAGGTATTTTTCCTGATAGTCTTAGGCACATACCCAGCGAGTTTTCTGAGCACAAAGGGATTAGCAGCAGTGTGCTCTGGAAACTCATCTGGCATCACTGGGGTGAGTGTTGCTGCTTTGGAAAGTTTGTCTTACCCCAGGCTGCAGGCAGGAAGTGGCTGAGCAAGCCCTGGGAGGAGGTAGGAGAGCTGGGCAGGTGGAAAGTGTGGGGCTCTCACAGTGGCCGGTCGTGTGCCCCTCATACACTTGCTGCTGTGCAGTGTTGCTTAAGAAACTGAGGGGGAATCTGTCTTGATCCTGCAATTATTAGAACAGCCTGTTTTTTCTCAAACCTTAGGCCTTGCGTTCATTTATAAAATCAGCCATCTCCCCTACTTTGTCCCCACTGGGTGTCGATCTCATCATTGATGGAAAGGAGAAAGCACAGGTTCAGCCTCAAGGCTCCAGAGTTGCCTCAGCATCAAGACCTTGACCTTCCTCTTTATTTCTGCTTGTGCCATCAGTCATATGTCCCAAGAGGGGTCACTTTCACATTTGCTGTCCAAAAAACCTGACTGCTTGTCATCGAGGCAGAAGATGGCAGCGCAGTCTTGAGTCAGCCTCAGGGTCTGCCTTAGAAAAGCTGAAGGGAGTGGCTTTGAAGCAGCAGCCTGATCATCAGCCCCCTCATCTCAGCAGTTTAGAGTGTGCGGCTGGAGATGCCAGGCAGGACCTCGTTACCCTACGGGCTCAGAAGGAAAGGAGCTAAGAGATAGAAAAAGAGGTTAGGGCCGAGGGAGCCCAGGCCCTTCTGGGCCATAGCCAGGTTCTGGGTTCAGAAACAAATGAGCTCCAAAGCTTTCCTGAGGTCAGAGGCCCTGGGGCCAGTGCCTGCGCTGAGCAGCCGGGCAGCTAGTACGTTCCTTGAGATCATTAGAGGAAAGGTAGAAAGTTCACATTTTCCCTCTCTTGTTTTCCCCCCATGTCTCCCACTCATTCCCTTACCCTTCTCCCACTGCCTGTGTTTCTAATCTTCAGTTTTGTCCCTCATTTTTATAGATTATGATTTTGGAGATGTGTTTCCAGCAGTGCCGTCTGTACCCAGCACAGACTGGGAAGGTGGGACAGAGTCCTCTGGGACCCTCTTTGCTTGTTTTGCAATGTTTCCATGGCAAGCTTGCTGCATGTTTCAAAATCAGCTCCTTATTATTTATAATAATGTCCATGATTATAATAAGCCGCTCTGGTGCTCTAACAGATGGAATTCTGCAGCAGGAGAACTTGGCCTTTAGCCCTAGGTCACTCCCGTCTCCCAGTGCAGGGCCTGGGGTGTCACTGAGTGTCTGTCTGCATGTGGGGATGCCAAGTCACCCTCCCTGATGTTCACATCAGTTGATATTCTCATAGTGCAGGGGCAACTCCTTGTTTGTGAGGCATTGGTGGCCTGCGTGAGCAGAGATTTGTTTTAGAAAACAGTGCCTTTAAACACATTAGTTGCAGGCTCCAGACAAGCACCCAGAAAAAATATAGAAGGCTTGATTCTTTCTCTGCAGCAGTCCATTTTTTTATGTCCCTTCTCCATTTTTATTTCATTTTGGTTTTGTTTTTTGAGTAAAGGTCTTGTGATAGTTCCCAGGCTGGGCTTGGATTCATTCTGCCTCAGCTTACTGAACATCTAGGATAACAATCATAATCCCACTGTGCTCAACCCTCTTGGATATTTTTAAAAAGAGATTAAAGTCCAAGTGAGGTATAGGTGAAACTTTATACAGGGAGAGTCTTAAGATGTTTTAAGGCAGATTAAGTAAAATCTGTTCAGGGCCTGGGGATTTAGCTCAGTGGCATAAGTGCCTGCCTTGCAAGCTAATGGTCGTGAGTTTGATCCCTGGTACCAATAAAAAAAAAAAAAAAAATAGAAAAAGAAAAAAAAAAGAAAATCTGTCCGTCTTTCCCCCGTCCTCTGGAAAGTGCAGAGTTTTAGCATTTTGCTGCTGTAACCCACTGCTGGACTTATATAAATTCATCAGTGATTGCTAGGTTGCCGTGATTATTCAGAGTAGACGTATTTGTGACAAGGCAAATGCTTGTTCTTTAAATGTGAGGCTAGGCTGGGGATATCAGTGGCACTGTGCCTGCCCGGCAAGTGTGAGGTTGTGAGCTCCATTCCCAGTACTAAAGAAATAAATAAACGTGAGGTCATTCCAGATTTCCCTTAAAGAGCAGGCGCTCAGGGAGCCATTTCCAGTCTGGAGGGGTGGCCCCATCCTGAATACTAGAGACCTGATCTCTGAGAAGTGGGTGATGGATGGTCTTTCCCAAGTAATATGAGTCTGAAACAACTTAACTTTGCAGGAAGTAAGATCCTGCCCTGGGAAACATAAATTATGTGTATTGGCCAAGAGAATAGCATTGCAGTCTCCTTGTTTCATTTAAATTAGCCTGGAACCCAGAATTCCATCGTAACATTGTTGACCTCAGCCTCTATTGTAGCACATGTGCTGGGCATTGGGTTTTCCCTCTGATTTAACAACTAACCCCCTTCCTGAAGTCCTGTGGCAGTCACTTAACAAAGGCGGCCTGACCTTCTTTGCAGCTCTTCAGAGCTCCCCATGGGCTGACAACTAGCAGCCCGGTCGTTTGCTTGCACAGGCCTGGGGCCTAGGGCAGGGTAGTATTTCTCTCAACCCTGACCTGCTTTCCCAAGCTCCTTGGGCACTGACGCATTCCCTGGCACACCCTCAGAAGCTCACTGGGGAAGGCTCTGGAGGAAAGCAGGATTTGGGAACATGTCCGTACTCAGGGCCCTGGGATGAGAGGAGATGGCTGCTCCATGGTCTTTGGCTTCATTCCAGAGCTAGTGGGCATCCCAGCCTTGATGCCCGCCACACCTCAGATCTGCCTTCTCAATTCTCAGGACCCCACCCTGAGCAGCTGCAGGTGTGGAGGAGGAACAACGGGCTGGGAAAAGCTCAGGCTTTGAGGGATTCTCTTCAGAGTCACAAGACACCCCCAGTGTTTTCCTGGCAGAGCTGGCAGTTAGGCCTCTCTGGTCCTTCCATCGAAAGGCAGTGTGCTTGGAAACCCTGGATGTTGTGCTGCGTCAGCAGGCAGCTGCTCAGTGGTTTTCTAGGACCACTGAGAGTTTGCCAGTGGGACAGGCCCTGCCAGGGGCTGCAGAAAGCACAGTTGTACCTCTTCTGGGAGAGATGGCCAGCAGGATGTACACACACTGGCAAATAGGGAGTGAGCAGCCTGTGTCCCTTGCCACTAACACTTGCCAAGGCTGGTGGAGGTGCACAGGCCTGTCTGCCGCTGGTTCACAGCCCGTGCACTTGTCACACAGGTGCCCCTGCCTGATTCGGAGACTTGCGGGGGGAGGGTGATGAGGCCAGCTTTCCCGTGGAGAGGCAGCACCATCTCCCACTCTGTGGGCAACAGCCCTGCGGGCAACAATGTGACAGACAGGTTTGCTTGAAAGGGAGTTGTCAGCCCTGCCCACAAGAGGCCTCTGGTCCCGACCCCCAGGAGTGGATGCTGGGGAAAGCCCCATCCAAGAGATGAAAGGGTCTGGAGCAGCCCCTCCACACTGGCCTCTGGTCTCATTCTTGTCACCGTCCCATTGCTTCACTCTTTGCTTGTCTCTGGCTCCTTCTGTCTGTCCTTCCCACAGGCTCTCCTCTTCGGACACCCATCCGACCCTGTCTGCTTCTGCCCCCTCATTTTCTCTGGTCTCTTCCTCTATTTTTCTTGTTTCTTTTCTGTTGCCTCTTGTCTACAATGAACCCTTCAGAGGACTTGGGGTATCGCTTAGCCCTGTTCCTGAGAGCAGTGCTAACCGAGCTGCTGGGCACTCATCCTTAGAAGAGGGCTCCAAGGCTCACCAGGAACCCTAGAAGCTGTGTGCCTGTCTCCTCTTCACAGCTCCCCGCCACACCAGAAGTGTTAGAGCCTTGAGGCTGTTTCCCGAGGGCTCCTGACTATGAACCTGGCCGAATTGTGGGCTCAGATGAGTTTCTAGTTGTGGTGATGGGGAGGACCCCCAGTTTCTCCTAAAGCACAAATCTCTGTCCTAACAGGTTGGGGTTTCTGCTTTTGAAACAGGGCCACCCTGGTTAGGCTTCCCTGGGAGGGACAGTAAGTCCCCTGAGATAAGGGCCCCCAGCTGCCCCTGACAGGCTGTCTCCCATCTCCTGGCCCCAGCAGATGGAGACCTCACAGACACCATCAGCGGTCCTCGCTCCACTGCTTCAGACCTGACCAGCAGTAAGGCATCCACCAGGAGCCCCACCCAGCGCCACAACCCTTTCAACGAGGAGCAGGCTGAGACAGTGTCCTCCTCTGAAACCACCCCAGTGCATGCCACCTCACAAGACAAAGGGGACTCCCAGGTTCTGGAGCCACCAGATGCCTGCACAGAGCTCGAGGTCATCAGGTCAGCAGGAAGAGCCAGGGAGAAGTGTCCAGCATTCGTGTGCCCACTGTTGGCCTCACTGTTTAGTCCAGGGGTAACCTCGTGGGCAGTGGGGCATCTTCAGAGACTAAGAAGTAGGCCCTCCCCGTCCTTAGGCAGTTTGGTTTGAAGTTTTGTTGGGGATGGTGAGTTGGACCTAGGGCCTTTGCACTGAGCTACGTCCCCGTCCCTTTTTAAACATTTCTTAAAATTTGGAGACAAAGTCTTACAAAGTTACCCAGCCTGGTTTTGTCTCCTAGGTAGCCACAGCGAGTTTGGGTTTATCTGCTGGAAATCAAGGGACCCACTCAGTGGTTCCCTGGCTACTGCCCACATCCCTTGTGCTGCCCCCAGGCACATGCTTCTCACCCTGCCTCTGCTGGCACCAGGGACCCTTCAGAGCCTGGCCTCTGCTTCACACTGTCCAGGACCACAAGGCTTGTGGCAGTGCCCTCAGAAAACGTGCCAGGGTCGCTCCCTGCCCAGCCTGAGTCTGTCGGGATGGCCCTCAGGTGTGCACTGTCCCCATCACCACTCCCACAGGGTCACCAAGAAGAAGAAGACTGGCAAGAGGAAGAAGATCAGACCAGACGAGGAAGCAAGTCCCCTTCATCCAGCCTCCAGCCAGCACACGGGTGCCAGGCAAGGGGATGGTGACAGCCTAGTCAGCAGCCCAGGCCTTGGGCAGGACTCACCGGACACCACCCTGGCCTCCCCACCCGAGGAGGGCGAGGGGCCCAGCAGCACTGCTGAAAGCAGCGAGCACTCTGAGCTCGGCCAGGTGGGCCTGCTGATCCCTGAGATGAAGGACACCTCCATGGAGTACCTAGGACAGCCCCTGAGCAAGGTCATTGACCAACTCCATGGGCAGCTGGATCCCAGCACCTGGGGCTCTCACATGGAAACCCCAAACCAGTCCTTTCGGACCAGCGCTCCCGGGGAGGCCCCGGAGAAACCACCATTTTGCGACTTTAGTGAGGGGCTTCCGGCCCCCATGGACTTCTACCGTTTTACCATTGAGAGTCCAAGTGCTGTTACATCAGGTGGTGGCAACCATGACCCTACAGGGGCTGGCCAACCGCTGCATGTTTCTGGTGGCCCTACGGCTGCTAGCCAAGAAGAAGAGGGAGGAGGAGGAGAGGGACAGACACCTGGGCTCCTAGATGATGCACCAGGGGCGGCCCAGGAGCTAGAAGAGGACTCCCAGCCCGCCCTGGTCCCTGAGGGGCCTGGGTCCCAGCCAGAGCTGCAGATCCAGGAGGCTCCCTGCCCACTCAAGGGGGACCAGCCCAGCCCGTGTCTGAGCAGCGCTGAGGACTCCGGAGTAGATGAGGGCCAAGGGAGCCCATCTGATATGACCCACTCCTCAGAGTTCCGGTGAGCACACACGAAGGCTGCCATCCCCGGGGGCAAGGGACAGGGGGCCTCTGACCTCCCAAGAGACTAAGCACAGTGCCCTGAAGACTGAGTCTGGGGTGGAGGTGGGAACAAGCATGACCACCACTGCCATAAATGACCCCTGTCCTCCTGCACTGCCCCTCTCCCAGGGTAGACAACAATCACCTCCTCCTGCTGATGATCCACGTGTTCCGGGAGAATGAGGAGCAGCTATTCAAAGTAAGTCCCAGGAAGTTGGGATTGGGCAGACGCAGCAAGGGCTGGGTGGGGCGGGGCGGGGCGGGGCCGGGCAGGAGGCCTGAGAGCCTGTGCTTGCCTCTCAGATGATCCAGATGAGCACTGGCCACATGGAGGGCAACTTGCAGCTGCTGTATGTGCTGCTCACGGACTGCTATGTCTACCTGCTCCGCAAAGGTGCCTGCTGCCCCCACAAGTGATCCTTTCCTGGTCCACTCTCCTCTGAGTGGCATGTAGTGATGAAAATGGACCCCAGGAAGGTGTTGCCAGCTGAGCCCGGGATTCTGCCCTGCGAATGCCCCATATCTTTTCCCTCCTCTGTCATTTCCAGTGGCAGAGAGTGTCATTTCCAGTGGGAGGAGGGTCCTCCCTGTGAGGGGCCCAGGCCTTAGGAATGGGGCCAGGGGATCAGAGGCCAGGGGGTAATAGGCATTGGGGTCTCCTCTCTCAGGGGCCACTGAGAAGCCATACCTGGTGGAAGAGGCCGTTTCGTACAATGAACTTGACTATGTTTCGGTGAGTGCAGGCTCTGCAGTTGGTTATAGGACTTCCTGGGCCACCTACACTCACAGCTGCGGAGCAGGGCATGTCTCAGGGTTGGGCACAGCTGAACTCTTAAGGAGGCTTCTGGATGTGTTGGGGACAGGGCCAAGCCAAAAACTCCTCTTCCTGGGGACACTCAGGCCCAGTGACCGCAGGGTGTGCTTACTTCTTTCCTGTGGGTCCTACTTCTGCCTGGCGGCAGCCACACCCCACATGGTGTCTTCCGGCAGGTTGGCCTCGACCAGCAGACAGTGAAGCTGGTGTGCACCAACCGCAGGAAGCAGTTTCTGCTGGACACTGCAGATGTGGCCCTGGCTGAGTGAGTGTCAGCCCTACCCCCCACAGGCCAGACCCAGGGCATCTGCCCCTGTGTGCTGTAGCTGCGGGTAGAGGACATGGGAGACACAAAATGGGGAGCGTATATGTTTGCTCTGGACTGCCACCAACAGACTGACCCTCTCAGTCTTTGGAAGGGGTAGGGGCTAGTGTGAGTTATCCAGCCAGAAGAAAGGCAGGGCACCTGCTGGACAGGGGATGATGGACAGGGGGTTATATGTGAACCCTTTATGTGATGTAGCAAAGGTCTGCCACCCAAGGCTTGCTGACCAGCATCTCATCCCATTTTCCTTTAAGATCCAGGTCCTCTCTCCCAGCAGGGGACAGTCAGGTCGCCTCTTCTGGTCGCCATTTGATGGCCAAGGGTTCCCATCACATAGCTTCCGGCCAGGCCCTTCTGCCACGTTTCTATGGCCTCTCCAGATAGGAGCTCTCACAACAAAGTCCTGTCTGTCCCCAGGCCTCTGACAGCAGCCCTCACTCCTTGAGCAGGTTCTTCTTGGCCTCTCTGAAGTCAGCCATGATCAAAGGCTGTCGGGAACCACCTTACCCCAGCGTCCTGACAGATGCCACCATGGAGAAGCTGGCACTGGCCAAATTTGTGGCCCAGGAATCCAAGTGTGAGGTCAGCAGCTGGAGGTGGGGTGAAGTCCATGCAGGCTCAGTGGTGGGTGGCCTGTCGGGTCAAGGTTAAGAGATACAGACCAGGGGCTGGGGATTTAGCTCAGCTGCATAAGCACCTGCCTTAAAGCAGGCAGTTGTGAGTTCGATCCCTAGTACCAATAAAAAGGAAAAAGGCAAAAAAAAAAAAAAAAAAAAGAGATACAGACCAGACCTTCAGTCCCCTTCCCCGCCCCAGGCAGTCCCCCTGCCTGCGGGTGTGTCCTAAGGTGCTCAGTGAGCACCTGCAGTTGCTGCTGCTAGCCAGCCCAGCCACCTGCCTGGCTCAGAGCTCACCACTTTGTGCACAATCCCCACCTGCAGGCATCCACCGTGACTGTACACTTCTATGGGCTCGTGCACTGGGAGGATCCTATGGACTGTTCACCTCCCGAAGGTGCTATCACCAAAGAAGGTGTGCTGCACTACAAGGCGGGCACCTCCTACCTGGGCAAGGAGCACTGGAAGACCTGCTTCGTGGTGCTCAGGTGGGTGCCCACAGCTCTGTGCCCAGAGCAGAGCGGCTGGGGAGGCTGCCTTCTCCTCCATGAGCTTTGAGCTGGACACAGCCAGGCCTGGAGACCTTTCTGTATAGCCAGCCTCCCTGCTGTACCTGTTGACTCCTTCGTCAACCACCCCTCCGTAGAAAAAGGCCCAGCTTTCCTTACCTGGGCTTCATGGCCACGGTTTGGAGGCTCTCTGGGATTTGGACTCTGCCTGGCCCCCATTCCTTGGCCAAGCCTCACCCTGTTGTGTTGTGCCCTGCAGCAATGGGATCCTCTACCAGTATCCTGACCGTACTGATGTCATCCCCCTGCTCTCAGTGAACATGGGGTAAGTGTCCAGGAGATGGGGTACTGGGTAGGTATGGTGCCAGACTGCTGCCCGAAGGCCACAGCTCTGGCTGAGCCTGGGCCCAGAACATCCATCAGTCCAGTCTCTGTCCCTCAGCCCTGCCCTCCCCGTCCAGCAGTGGTGACGGTTATGCTGAGGTTTGCTGAGCTGAGGCTCTGAGGAGCCCTGGAGTGGGCAGGAGGGAAGGAGGCACTGCCTGGGGCGCATGCCAGGGAGGGACCTGTCTGATAGGGACCAGCCCCCACCAGCAGCTCCAGTGGGAGGAAGCCTGGATGAGGCAGCGCCAGTGCTGGCCAGTAGAGCTGAGCTCACTCTCACCCTTTGCCTGGCCGGCCGAGTTCCGGTTCCCAGAAGTGCTGGAGATAAAATGAGTCACACAGAAAGGGTGGAGCTGCGAGCAAGGGTCCACAGCCTCCTGGGGTCTGGACAACTGTCTGGTACCCTTCGTTCCCGCATGCCGCCAGCCCACCCCTGGGGCTCCCACTCCGGCCAACCCTGCCCCCTCACTCCCGTTTCACCCCTCCTCCTCTGGCCCAGGGGGGAGCAGTGCAGTGGCTGCTGGAGATCCAACACCACGGATCGGCCCCACGCCTTCCAGGTCATTCTCGCTGACCGGCCCTGCCTGGAGCTGAGTGCAGAGAGCGAGGCTGAGATGACCGACTGGATGCAGCACCTCTGCCAGGCCAGGTCCAAAGGGGTGAGCCCCTCCCACCCCACTGTTCACCTGCTTGAGCCTATCGGGAATCCCCGGGGCTGTCCCAAACCTGCGCCAGCCACAGAGCAGCCCCAGAGGGCCTAGATAGGATACCCTGGAGCCCAAGACCACACTTCGCCTCTCCCCACCCACGCTCCTGAGGGGCAACAGCCTGCTGGGGGACTCAGCTGGGTTCTGGTGTAGGCCACCCAGAGAACACCCCTGCTCGTGCCTCAGGTCATCCCCCAAGGGGTTGCTCCCAGCCCCTGCATCCCCTGCTGCCTGGTGATCACTGGGGACCACCTCTTCACTTGCCATGAGGACTGCCAGACCAGCTTCTTCCGCTCACTAGGCACCGCCAGGCTGGCCGATGTCAGCGCTGTCTCCATGGAGTCTGGCAAGGAGTACTGCATCCTGGTGAGGTGTGGGTGGGCTGGGGTGGCATGGGCCTGTGGAGGGAGGCCCCCTGTTCACCTGGGCCTGGCTCCCTAGGAATTCTCGCAGGATAGCCTGCAACTCCCCGCTCCCTGGGTCATCTACCTGAGCTGCCCTTCCGAACTGGACCGTTTCCTGTCTGCACTGAACTCCGGGTGGAAAGCCATCTACCAGGTACCTAGCTCTCCGAGAGCCCCAACTGCTCCTAGCACCTGACCTGACCTCTAGGGTCCTGGGGACAGCAGTGTGCCTGGGGGCAGACGTAGAAAAATAGGGCCATAAGGGTAAAGCACTGACTCAGTGAGTCTGTGGCAGAAACTAGAACTGGAACCCAGCTGGGAGATGCAATTCCCAACCTCAGGTGAAGAGCGCAGAGAGGTACTTCCATGGGCCAGGGCTGCCCTGCCCTGCTCCAGAGCTTAACCCAGAGTAGGAGGGCTCACTGGCCCTGGAGAAGGGCTCCGGGGCTGTTGCTGGACTGCAGCCTGGGGAAACCTAGGAAGGAGGCCAGCAGGCAGGGGAAAGCTGCTCCCCAGGCAGAGGCAGAGGAGCTGCAGGTTCAAGGCAGAGCCCAGGACTGGCCCTGGGAGTGGGGACCACAGCCTCCCACGCCCCTGCCTGCCCCAACACAGGTGGACCTGCCCCACAAGGCGATCCGTGAAGCCTCCAGCAGGCAGAAGTTGGAGAACGCCCTGAGCCTCATCCACAGCGCCTGGCAGCGGAGTGACAGCCTCTGCCGAGGCAGAGCCTCCCGGGACCCCTGGTGCTGAGGCAGCGTTGGGTGGCATCTCAGGCGGATGGGAAGGGGAAACAGGCTGACCAGAAGGCACACCGTCCCGTGTCATCGCGCTGCCCGAGAGCTAGGCCCCTACACGTGTCCTGCAGCCCGCTGCTGCACCAGGCGGCAGAACCACGAGTGTGGCTTGTGATGGGGCCTCCCCACTCCCAGGGGTCTAGACTGGTGTCCAGCACCCTGGTATCCTGCCTGGTGGGTGGTGGCTGGAGGTCGATGGGGCAGAGGTTCTGAGCCCTGTGGGCTCTGTAGATGCATACTTCCTTCCCACACCACCACCATCTGTTCAAGATGGCGATGAGAATCCATCTAAGGAGAGCAGAAGGACCAGGAGGGTGGGAGCCCTTCTTCCCCTCCTGGGTCAGGGACCTGGGCAGAGGCTCAGGGCCCACTGGGGTCCTGAGTGCCCAGCCACCCTTGTTCGTTTTGGAACACTTTCCTGGCTGTTCAGGAGCCGGAGGACTGGTGTCTGTGCATGCTTCCCCCCTGCTGATCCACCCCACGCACAGCTGCCTGCCAGGGGCCCTGCATGCCCACGGCCTGTCCTGGCTTCCCCTGCCCAGCAGAGCCAGCAGGACCAGGAGCAGCTAACTCCTCATGCCGGGAGTACAGGGGAGCGGGAAGGCCTGGCAGAGGAGTAGAGCCCAGCAGCCTGGCGTCCACCTTGACATCTCCCGACTGTCCCTTGCCAGCTGAAGCCAGGCCTTTCCTGGCTTTATCAGAGTCCTCAGGGCCAGGGGCCAGTGGTCTGAGTTTTGTTTTTAAAAATAAAACAGATACATTACATTGCCAAAACTTGTCACTAGCTCTCTTTGAGCAGGGTGGAGTGGGAGGGCTGGAGGGCCTCCTCCCATTCTGCAAAGTCCATTGTCTGTCAGTTGCCTGGACACACGGAACCGGGTCGGCCTCGGCTTGGAGGTGCACAGGCCCTCAGAGGCTGGTAGTCTGACCCCCATCCCCAGTGTCACTCCTCACACAGTGGCCTTTATTTTCTATCACCATCCTACCCGGGCCCCTGGTGTCTTGGGGGAAGCACGAACCCGAGCAAGGCAAATCCAGCCCCTGCTATTGGGCAGGACACTGTAGGCACACACACCAGTCTGCAGAGGCCCTTCTGAGGTAGGTGTCACTGCGGTAGCTCTGCCTCATCTGCAGTGTCCCTTGCTCAGCTGTTACCAGAGGTCCACTGGAGAAAAAAAAATAAACAAAAAACAAACTGGGTAATGCTCTGCAGTCTCCCGTCCCAGACGCGAGTTACTCCTGTCCAGAGTACCCTTGCCCTTCCGTCAGCTGACCACGGTGGTTTCACCGTGCTTGTGTCCACATAACACTCATTTCACCTAATAATAGCCCCAGATGGGGCTGGGGATTTAGCTCAGCGGCATAAGCGCCTGCCTTGCAAGCAGGCAGTCGTGAGTTCGATCCCCGGTACCGATAAAAAGGAAAAAGACAAAAAACAAATAGCCCCAGATGAGGGGGAGTGCCCACTCCCTTCCCCTCCTCCTCTCCCCGCCAGGGTCTTGCACACCAGGCAAGTGCTGTACCCCTGAGGTGCAGCCCCTGTCCAGTGCTTCCTGTGAGTGGGGAAGGTGAAGTCTGGTGCCGAAGTCCACACATGTAACCCCGCACTGAGGGGACAGAGGCGGGAAGAGCACAAGTTAGAATCCCACCTGGGTAACAGGCCCTGTCTTCAAATTCTAAAAAACACTAAAGAATGAAGAGCTGGGACTGCGGCTCAGTGCAAAAGCCCTGGTCCGGTCCCCAGTCCTGAAAAAAATGAATGGGTGAAACGGTGACAGCTGTAATGTAGCACAGTGACGGAGCACAGGCCTGGCGTGTGCGTGCGCCTGGGTTTGCTCCTGAGTACTGAAATAAAAAAAGTGAAAGTTGTCTATCAAGGAGAGGAAAACCACCTCATGGTGGGTTGGTAGTGGCTGGCACTCCTGTGATGGCACACACGCAGTTTGGTCAGCTGCGGTTTCAAGCATCCTCTGGGGTCCTGGAAGGAATCCCCTGCGGGTGGCGGGGTCCCTGTGTCTCTATTGTGTGAGTGGGACTGAGGCTCAGAGGAAGTGCTTGCCCAGTTAGTTATCCCAACAGCACCTGGGGTTTGCAGTGGGGGCGTGCTCAGGGTTGAGCACTGGTCTAGCACACATGAGAACATGGGTTTGGTCCAGAAAACAGAAATTGTTCTTCAGCTTCCAAGGTCTTTCTCTGCTAAAAGTGAGACGATGGACTGTGGGAATGAGGTCAGAAGACTGAGGTCCAGAAAGTGGGGTCTTGGCCGGAGAAGAAAAGATGTGACAGCTGCAGAACCCTCATGCACCTGTGCCAGGGGCCTCCAAGATGCTCGTCCCCTGTCTAGCTTGGGCTTTCAGCTGGAGCAGGACAGGCAACAAGGAGACAGGAGGAGGAGGTGCCCCTGCTGGTGCCACCTTCTCCCTGCCCCCACACTTCTTCCAGTCCCAAGTGACCTTTCTCCCAGATCCCAGGGTCCAGGCTCCTGGGCCAGAGGCAACTGGGATTGGTTAGGGCTGGAGGGGGCGGGTCCAGGCTCACTGACCGGGTCTGCTGAGCCGAGCAGGTGGATTTCCAAGATAGCAGTGGCTGCAGGGCAGCTGCTGCATTCAGCTGTGACCTCTGTCTTCTAGACATGGGCCCGGGTTCTCTTGTTCTCCAGTCCCTTGTCCTGGAAGGAGTGCAGACAGCCTAAACATCGCCAGTGTATGGCCTGGCCCATGTCCTGATCCAGGCACAGGCAGCCCCTGGCATGGAGGCTGTGGAGCCGGTTCCTCCGGCGGTGGACCTGGTGCTGGGTGCCTCAGCCTGCTGCCTGGCCTGCGTGTTCACCAACCCCCTGGAGGTGATAAAGACGCGGCTGCAGCTTCAGGGAGAGCTGCAGGCCCCAGGTACCTACCCTCGGCTCTACCGTGGCTTGGTGGCATCGGTGGCTGCTGTAGCCCGTGCAGATGGCCTGTGGGGCCTACAGAAGGGGCTGGCTGCTGGCCTCCTCTATCAGGGCCTCATGAATGGTGTCCGATTCTACTGCTACAGCCTGATGTGCCAAACTGGCCTTAGCCAGCAACCAGGCGGCACTGTGGTCGCAGGCGCCGTGGCTGGGGCACTGGGAGCATTCGTGGGGAGCCCTGCTTACCTGGTGAGTGCCTTATCTCCATCCTTCACCCCTCCACCCAGCCCTGCTGGGCTCTGCAGCCTCCAGGGCTCCAGGCCTTGGGCTAGTGGGGCAGGCTGGGTGGGGCAGCCGTTGGGAATATCTGAGCCAGACTGGAATGAGCCCTTTGGCACCAGTGCCTCGCCCTAACCTTTGCTGCTCTGAGGTCCCTACCCACTGGTCCTGGGCCAGGGGAAGCTTGGAGGTGGCAGCAGATGTGTGATGCAAATCCTGGCTTGGGCATGTCTCCTCCTGTGTGCCCTGGTGTAGGCCAGGAGTCAAAGCTGCCTCCAAGCAAGGGCTCTTGTGCCCTGGTCTGGGTCCTGTGCAGTCATCTCACTCAGCCCTCAAAGGGTGACAGAACTGAGGCCGGAGGGTGGTGAGGGACTTCTGGCATGATGCAAAACCAGGTCCCATGCCGTATACCCCCAGGGCTCAGGGACACTGTACCCTTGACACATCCAGCTCATCCCCCAGACTGATCTGATCCTCTGGTCCCTTCTGCTCTTGCAGATCAAGACACAGCTGCAGGCCCAAACAGTGGCTGCCATGGCTGTGGGGCACCAGCACCAGCACCAGGTGAGCAGCCCCCTTCCCAGAGCGCTGGGCTGCACCGGGAGTACTCCTGGGCTAGCGGGGACATCCGGTGACCCATGCCTTCTCCCCACAGAGCGTCTTAGGTGCCTTGGAGACCATCTGGCGGCAGCAGGGCCTACTGGGGCTGTGGCGGGGCGTGGGCGGGGCAGTGCCCCGAGTCATGGTGGGCTCAGCCACCCAGCTGGCCACCTTTGCCTCTGCCAAGGCCTGGGTACAGGAACAACAGGTGAGGGGCCCAGGGCCCACCTGCCTCCTCCTGCACAGGAAGTACAAGGGTGTCACATGGAGCCCCTTAGGAGGCTGGAGCGCTGACTGTCATCAGAATTGTGACCTGGCCCTTGGGCCCAGTGGGAGTTGGGAGTCACCAGTGAACCCTAAAGCTGTGAAGGAATCCGGGTTGTGGGTGGGGAGGGGAATGGCTGGAGGAGCCTAGTCTGTTCCCTGACCTCTAGCCTTCGAGCCACCCGTGCTAGGGATTGGGGAGGTCACCCCGAGGGTGTGAAGAGGGCAGCTGCAGGGTCAGCAGCCTATGCTGTTCCCACAGTGGCTCCCGGAGGACAGCTGGCTGGTGGCCCTGACGGGCAGCATGATCAGCAGTGTAGCTGTTGCTGTTGTCATGACACCCTTCGACGTGGTCAGCACACGGCTGTACAACCAGCCCGTGGACAGAGCTGGCAGGGTGAGTGGGGGCGGGGTGGGGAGGACTGGGGAGCCTGGAGCCCCCCCCACACACACACACACACGCAGCTGGAACCCACAGTGACAGCGGGATGCATGGCCTGGGCTCGGGCGGTGAATGCCTAAGTCCCAGTTGTGTGCTATGCACCTTGGCATCTGGATTTTATTCTTTTTCCGGATGAAGAATCTGAGGCTCAGACCCCATGGCTTGCCTGAGGTTACCCAGTGGCTAGTGGGGAAGCCAAGATTGGAACCATGGTTTCTTGTGGTACTGGCAGCCTCAAGGATGTGCCCAGGATCAAGGTGCCACGTACATAGCCAAGCTGAGCCCCAACAGGGGGCTGCACCTGCCTGAAGGCCCCTCTTTCTAGCATCGCATTGTAGGGTCACTCATTAGAATCAGCCCAGCTGAGGGCACATGCCTCTTCTGTCACACTAGATACACACCCCTGGCCATGCCACCTGGGGCCTCCTACCCCTCGCGGTGATGCCCACACTGTCTGTCCCAGGGCCAGCTGTACAGGGGCCTCACCGACTGCCTGGTGAAGATCTGCCAACAGGAGGGCACCTCGGCGCTCTACAAGGGCTTTGGCCCTGCCTACCTGCGCCTGGGCCCTCACACCATTCTCAGCATGCTCCTCTGGGACGAGCTGCGGAAGCTCGCCAGCCGGGCCCAGCACCAGGACATCTAGGCCTTGTCCCTCCGCCCATCCTGACGGTCCCACACGTGGCCAGAACGATGGCCCAGGGTCCCTGCCCAGGTCCTGCATGGGTTTATGGAAAGTGCCGGCCACTCTGGTCAACCCAGCCCCTGAGGGCCAGCGTCTGCGCTGAATCACCACCCCTCCATCCTCATCCTTCTCCGCCCTGGGCCACCACACCCCAGCCCCCTGGCTCGTTCTCAGAGGAGCAGCTATGGCCGCAGTACTGCCATGAGCTCAGCTGTTTAGCTTGTGGGGCCCTCCGACAGATAGCAAAGTCCTTTCACCCCAGGGAAGCTGAGGCCAGGACGGGTGACGAGGTCCGGGCCAAAGCCACACAGCTGGAACTCAGCTCTGACAAGAGCACGGCTGTCCTAGAACTGTGGGGCTGGAGCGAACTTTAGGGGTCCCTGTCCATGTGAAGAGACTGTGATGTCCTCCCGTCTGGTTTCTAGGGCCACTCTAACGGTGCCACATAGTCTGGGACTTAAACACTAGAGATTTATTTTCTCACATCTGCAGGCTACAAGTTGGAGGCTAAGGTGCTGGTAGGGCTCATTTCTTCTCTCCTTCCCCTCCCTCCCTTTCTGTCTTGTCTCTGTCTCTGTCTCTGTCTCTGTCTCTGTCTCTGTCTCTCTCTCCCCTCCTTCCTTCAGGGTAGAACCCAGGGCCTCGAGCATGCTGGGCTTATCCTCTAGCACAGAGCTGCAGCCAGCCCAGGGCTGCTTTCTCCTAAGACTTCTGTCCTTGGCTTGTAGAGGCCACCTTCTTGTGTCCTTCTGTGTCCTGCATCTGTGTCCTAACCCCCTTTTAGAAGGACAACAGTCATGTTGGACTCAAGCCCGCCCCACTGAGCCCATCTTAACTAAGAGATGATTTTGCCTGCCTCCATGTGCTGTCACAGCCGGGGCTCCCAGGGTGGAATCTGGGGACATAATTCACCCAGCGCCATCTGAGGGCTTTTACTGAGGGCCTCCTGACAATCCCAGAAGGGTGCTTGGAGACGCCCACTGTTCAGGAGGGGCCGCCTCCTCCCAGGAGAGTGGCAGGGTGGAGCCAGGGTAGGGCCAGAAACACAGCCACCCCCCACGCCTGCACTGACCTTTGTACTGCAAGGTGGACACAGTGCCTTGCCAAGGTGGACAGCCCAGTCACAGCCCGATGACCTTCACTGCCACACCCGCCACAGTGTGTGCCCCACCGCACACTCTAAAACAATAAAGTTTTCTATTTTGTTTACTTGTGTGACTCCCCTCTGGGAAGCGTCTGTCCCTACCTGGGCTCTCACCCAGTTCTTTCCACCTGGGGAGGGCAGACAGCAGAGATTTCTGGGGCCAGGCCCAAGCTGCCTGCCACCTAGTGGGCATAGTGGGGATGACCACAGGGCAGACCTACAGGCACAGGCCGGGGAGCCCAGCCTGGACCCATGTCCAGCTCAGAGCTGAGGCCTAGGGCGGCTGGATGAGCAGACCGCACAAAGAGAGCGAGCCTGACCTCTCCTTCAAGGGAAGACCTTGGCCTTGGGAGGCTGGGAGAGACCACAGACCTCAGGCTGTCGGGAGAGCCGTCTACTGCAAGGAGGCTCCAGGCTACTCCAGGCTCAGAGGACCGAGTCCACACTTCCGGCTGAGAGGGGCAGGGCAGTGCCTTGAAGCTGGCAGGACAGAAGGAAAGCTGGGTTCTGGTAGGCAACGTGGGGCTCCAGCCCTTTGGGGGGGTAAGAAAGGCAGAGGCCAGACTGGCAGGAACAAAGAACAGAAACCTTCTGCCACCCAAAGGGGAGCAAGGACAGAGCTAGCCGTGTGTCCCCTGGGTCCTGGAGCTAGGCCTGCCGCCCTGCAGCCTGGGAGGGTTCAGGCCAGGCCTCTCCTCTCCTCTCCGGGACCTTTAACCCCTTCCAGCTCCTCCCCTGCTCTCCATGGACACCTTTGCCCGGTGACATCATCAGTCTGTCCCTGCGCAGACCTGGCCTGAGGCTGGCCCCGCTGGGCCTGCCATGTTCTCCTTGCTGCCCCTCCCCTCCTGGCTCCCCGGCCTCCCCTCCCTGGAGTGGGGCTCCAGCCTCCTCGATGGGCTCCTGCAAGGTGAGTGCCTGCCCGCTCCCACTCTGCTGGGCCCTGCCCTCCCCAGGTACCAGGTGGGTCCCACCCCTCGGGCCTGGCCCTGCCTCCTGTCCCAGCTCTCCTAATGCCCACTGGCCTTGGCCTCCTCCCTTCTCCCTCCTCCTTGCAGGCCTCATCGGGGCCTTCGGGGTCTCTGTTCTGAACAACCTCCTGAAAGTCTACTTCTTCGTGGGCTGTGCCAAGTGAGTGTCCCTGCCCCAAGCCCCTTGCCGTGCCCTCACCTCTGAGGTGGCTGAGGTTGGTGGCCCTGCTCCTCTGCCCTGACAGTGACCCCAAGCGGCAGATGGAAACAGAGCGGCTCCAGGCCCAGTGGGCCCTGCTGGAGACCGTGCACCTGGTGGGCCTGGCCCTGTTCCTGACCATCGTGGGGCCCCGGGTAGCGGCCCTGGTGGTGCTGGAGTTCTCCCTGCGGGCCGTGTCCATGCTGCTGTCCCTGCACAAGGTGAGGCTGCGGGCAGGTGGGTCACCCTGGCCCTGTCGTCCTGGTCCCCTTTTCCCCCAGGTAAGGTATAAGGTTTCCATCTGATTGCCAAAGTCGCTTCTCCATTCACACCCGAAACAACTCCGTCCAGGACAACAACGCGGGCTCTGTGTGTGGAACCTCCTGGAGCCAGGCTCTGCACTGGCTATTTTGAGGCCATAATCTCATTTCATCCTCAAAGCCAGGGGGGCAAGGGTTTGCTTTGGGATCCCCACTTCACAGACAGGGAAACTGCGGCTCAGAGGGAGCACACAGTCTGCCTGTGGTCACCCATCAGCCAGGGTTGTCAGGTGTGAAGCCAATCTGAGTCAGCTCTCTGCAGCTGTCAGATGGACAGAGGGACGATGCCCAGGGTCCCTGCAGTGGGACAAGACAGCCACCACCTGCACCTCTCCCACAGAGCTCCCGGGGCCTGGAGACGCTGCAGCTCTACCTACTGAGTCAGTATGCGCTGGGCTGTGCGCTGGGCTGCGGGCTGAGCTTCCTGCAGGAAGGCGCCCCACACCGCACACTTAGCCTCCTGCTCAGCCTCGGGCTGGCTGCGCTGATCCACTCGGCTGCCCGCCGCCTCTGCCACCATGTCTGCCGCCTCTACGAGCTGCACAGCAGCCAGCACTACTGCGGGGTCTGCCTGGGCCTGCTGGCAGGTGCACACCGCCTCCCCGGGCTGCTGGGCCGCGCCCTGGCCATGGCCTTCACCGTGGGCAACCTGGCAGCCGTGTCCCTCATCAACCAGGACTTCCTGAGCACCTCAGAGGCCGTGCGCTTTTGGACGCCACTCACCATCTGCTACATGCTGCTGGTCATCTACATGCAGGGTGAGGGCCGGGGCCAGGGTCCTTCCACCAGGTGCAGAAGGGAGGCCAGTGCTGGCCACCCCCGGGCACAGTCATACACAGTCACACATGCTGGGACTGGTCCTGCGGTGACAATAGGGAAAGAGACAGTGGGTGGAGAGAGCCACAGGTGCCAGAGCCCAGGGCGAGTGTGTGGCACCGTCACACCACCAACAGAGTCCAGGACATTGTCCTGCCCAGGCTAAAGAAGGGACAAGGCTGGCCAGGCTCCCAGACAAGTTTCTAAGTGGGGAGAGGGACCCGGCCAGATCCGGCCTCTAGGAAGGGCCATGTGGCTGCAGAGTGAGAGGGGCGGGAGCAGAGGGCCCCGAGGGTGGTCTAGGTAGAGAGAATAGAAAGTGCAAAGGCCCTGAGTTGGGAAGGAGCACAAAGGAAGCCAAGATGGCTGGGGGTTGGTAGGCAAGGGCAGTGGGTCAGAGCCAGAAGCTGGGGGTGGGCTTGGGCCAACTCCAAGCCAGCCAGTGAGGCAGGATCTGTTTTTCTCCAAATGTAGTAGGACCTCCTGGAGGACTACAAACAGGAATGACCTCATCTAGTTGAGGTCATGATTAGCTGGTCAGCAGACGCTGGTCTACAGGATCAAAACCGAAAGTGTAGTGGCACACACCTGTCAGCCCAACATTTGGGAGGCTGAGGCAGGAGGATAGCTGTGATTTGAGGCCAGCCTGGGCTACAATGTGAGCTCAAGGCCAGCCTGAAGTGCATAGAGACCTGTCTCAAGAAAACCAAAACAAACAAAAAAACCAAATCTGGGAGCCCTTGGAGGAGGCTGCTGGCAGGCAGGCAGAAAGAAGGCACCTGGGACCGGGGTGAGATCGGGGTGAGTCTGGACAGAGCAAACAGGGATGTGTGAAAAAGAAGAATTGGGACGACCCCTGCCACAGTTAGACAGGCATCAGTGCACCCCCGGGGTGCAGGCTGGGCAGTGGGCATGGGCAGGCAGGGACAGGCACCTCTGGGTGTGCACAGAGGAGCTGGGGGTGGAGGAGAGTGGCATCGGACCCGGCCGGGCCTGGGGTGCGGCAGTGGTCGGGCGGTGACAGCCCCGCATCCCCAGAGGAGCAGCGGCAGCAGCGCCTCAGCATGCAGAGCCAGGTGCAGACAGTGCTGGTGCGCATGGGCGGCCTTTTCGTGCTGCTGCTGACCGTGGGCCGCTGGCTGGACCTGCTGAGCCTCTTCGTTTCCCTGCTGGGCGAGCTCTGGTGCCTGGCGGGTGTCCGCACTCTGCTGGACCTCTGCCAGATCCAGGTGGGCACCCCGCCATGTGTGGCCCCCCACAGCCCCAGTGCCCTGCTCCAGATAGGACCTGAGGGGCCTGCATTTAACAAGAACTGGGGTGACCTCTCTTGGGGCGAGGGGTGGAGGGAGCTCGAACCAGTTCTCCCCACTCCCGTAGCCAGGCCCAGGCTGAAACTAGGAGTGGGATCCCTCCCCTGCCTGCACCCAAGGGGCTCCTAGAGGAAGGATGGGGCCTGGGGATGGCCAGGGCAGGAAATGACTGGTTCCTACACCCACCCACCCACCCGCACAGGACTTCCCATGCCAGCCTGCGGTGTCAGTGCCCAGCCAGCCCCCGTCCTCGGCCCCCACCAAGCCCCAGAAGACTACCTTCCTGCTCCACTGCAGGGAGGACCCCGGCTCAGTCCCAGGCTCTTAGAGCCCGCGTTTCCAGGCCTTGACCTCAGGACACTGTCTGGAAGCACAGCGGCAAGGCTGGCTCCACCTGGACCTCAGGACAGGCCCAGGAGGTCTGGAAAGGGGAACCAGGTGGGCGTGGATGCAGTCCCCATGGAGGATGGGGGACACGAGTCCTCAGAGTGGCTCCCCACTTTGCTGGCCTCCCTTTCTTCTCCATGAACAATAAAGATGAATTTCTAAACCTGAGTTTAGAATTACAAAGTCATAGAGACTTTTAAACCAGCACAGGTAGCTCACACCTGCAATCCCAGTACTCTGGGAAGCTGAGGCAGGAAGATCACAAGTTTGAGCCCAATGGGGCATCTTATCAATACCCTGTCTCAAAATTAAAATTTTTTTAAAAGGGCTGGGGATGTAGTTCAGTGCAAAGGCAAGGGCTCAATCTCAAGCACTGGAAAAAGAAAGGAAAGGAAAGGACTTTTTGTTTGATTTTTGACACAGAGTCTCACAGTTCAGGCTGGCCTCACGCTCACCATGTACCCCCAGAGTGGCCTCTCAAGGAGATCCTCCTGCCTCAGTGTCCTGTGTGCTGGGATTATAGACTTGTGTCACAAAAAGGACTTTCTGAGTCTGTGAAGCCCTTCTAGAGGGCTGTCCTGGGCCAGGTTCCCGGGGACAGATCCCTTCAGACAGAAACGAGTCTAGTGAGAGCTGGAGGCGAGGGGAGGGAGGGACGGACGCATGGCCTGGTACCCGCCCACAGTGTGGCTGTGCGGTGCCTGCATTCCCTCTCATCCCAGTTGAAGCACAGAAGCTCTGAAGTCCTCCGTGGTGCCCCTGGGTCCCCAGTTCTGGAGCCTGCCTTGCTTCAGACCATGAAGATGCTCCCCTCTCAGCCCCATTCAGGGCCAGGACCAGAAAGGTTGATCACTGGGGCTCTTGTCCCTCTGCCTGCCCTCCGTGTGCCCTCCATGTGCCCCTCTCTGAGTCTGTGGGAAGAGGTCCCTCCGTGGGGTGGGTGCTAACACGTGCTCAGAACCTTTACCATCCTAGTTCATTTGGGCATCAGCCCCAAGAGGCTGGTACCATTACCCCTTTTCACAGATTCAAAACCCGAGGCTCACAGAGGCGAGGCGACTCGCTCAAGGGCACACAGGTAGTAAGTGGTAGGATCTGAACACAGGCAGCCAATCCCACAGCTCATCTGCTCTGCACGCTCCTTGTTCCCCTCATCAGGTTGCAGATTCAGGGCCCCAGAAGCCAACAGACCCGGGCACAAGTCACACGGCAGGGCTGTCCCTGGCCGGCTCTGTCTGTGATATCTCCCGAGGCAGCCTGAGGCTCCCCAGCAGGTGCGCCTTCTTGGCCCAGGCCTCTGGCCCACAGGGATGGAGGGCCCCAACCCAGCAGAGACCCCCCAGGGCAGAGGAGTCTTCCTGCCTATGGGCCTCTCTGGGGATGGAGCTACATTTGTCTAAGAGTGGCAGGGAGTGGCAGGTGTCACAAGTAGTGGTGTCTCAGGTGGTCACCCTAGGGAGGAGATGGGTTTTCGTTGTATTTGATGAGACAAGATCTCAGTCTTGTAGTTCACGCTGGCCTTGAACTTGAAGGGATCCCCCTAGCTCAGCCTCCCAGAATGCTGGGATTACGAACAAATACAACCTGTCATCCCAGAGAAGCATTTCAGGACACAGCAGGAACCCTGGGCTGATTTAGGAGGCAGAGTTAGAAGGAAGCAGGGAAGGGAGTTGAGCTGGAGGAGCTGGAGGGGGCACAGCTCCCTCTGATGGAGAGGCTCAGGCCAACCCCCTGCAAGGGCCGAGATGGCTTTTATGGGTTTGCTGAAGCGGCTGGGCTCGGAACCCTCTCCTCAACCCTGGCCACACAGAGAGCCGTGGAGCGGAGCGAGCCGCGGGTGACAGTTGGGCTCCCTCCTGACGTGAGCGCCTCTGCTTGGGGCCGGCTCAGCTTCCCCACCTACCTGGCTTTGTTTTCACAGAAACAATTTGAGCCAAGGTGACCAGGGAGTTAGGGCGAGGACTGGAGACCTCTGCGCTCCCTGGGGGTGTTGAATGTCCCTGTCCTCCTCTTGAAGGGATGGAATAGGTCACGTGAATGCAGGGCTGATCAGCCTGGAGCCCAGAGCTTCTGAACCTGGAAGCGAGGAGCAGTGCAGAGCTGGAGGAGTCTGACCCAGGCTCTCCGGGAGTAAAGGAGACAGACACAAAATGAAGGTCAAGTTCATTCTGCTTTTAGTGACTCGCTGGGCATCTGCCCGGTGAAAAGTCAGTTTTCAGCTAAAGCAGCTTTTGAGTTCCCGATTGTCTCAGGAGAAAAGCCCCATCATGCTTGTAGTGGGGAACAGATGAAGGGCCCAAGAGTGCACTTGTGTCTGTCCTTCCGGTCCTCTGTCCTATGACCAGAGGAAATGAGGCTGGGTGAAAGTGTTTGAGGGTTCCGGGCTCTGAGGGGTTCCTTACTCCCTGTAAAGGCTGCCATGGTCCCCTGATGGCCGCTAGGAGCTGGCTGGACCTGAGGCTGGGTGGGTGCTCTCAGCTCCGTCCCCAGGAACAGCCACCCACAGGACAGGGAACCCAGGCCACACTCCAGGGTATGTGTGCTAGGGGCAGTTCCCAGGGAAGCCCCCTCCCAAAGACAGGACCCAGCTGTCCTGCCAGGACATGAACTCCGTCACTCAGGACAGGAAATGGCCCCGTCTGGCGGAAATGGCTCAAGGAGCAGGCCCAGGGCCAGCCCTGCCTGACTAGGCAGGGCTCTGGGTTCCAAACAGGGCCTGTGTTTGCTGGAAGTGACCCCAGCCTCTCAGTCCCTGGCCTGGCCTGGGACCCATTGGGAACAGGCCCAGGAGGGGACTGGACTCAACAGCCTTTTCCTTTTTATGGGCACAGGGACCATTTTCCAAACAAAATCTAGGACATGTGGGCCAAAATAAGATTCTTTCCTTTTTTTTTTTTTTTTTTTTTTTGTCTTTTTCCTTTTTATCGGTACCGGGAATCAAACTCACGACTGCCTGCTTGGCAAGCGCAAGGTCTCGAGTTTGATCTTCGGTACAAAAAACAAAGTTTGAGTCCAGCCTGAGTAACTGAGTGAGACCCTGTCCCCAAATTTAAAATACATAAAATAAAAGGAGCCAGGGATGTAGCTCAGTGAGTAGGCCCTGGTTTTAAGTCCCAGTATTGAAAAAAAGAGAGATGGGGAGGCCAGGGTCCCCAGTCCCGGTTTAGAGCAGGTGTGGCCCCAGGCCAGCCAGGATGGAGTGGCTGGCCTCCCCACCTGACACCCCGCTCTGGCCTTCCTGAGCTGGCAGTGCCTGCTCTGTGCCCTCCCTGCTGGGCGCTGGCAGGTAAGGCCAGTCTGTGGAACGCTGGGCCTGGGGCCTCAGAGATGAGTGAGGTGTGCAGCCTGAACTCCCAGGGCAGCTGCTACTGACGGCAAAAGGAAAGCTGGGTTTGGGCTAGAGATGTGGGGGAGGCCGGCGGCTCGATTTGCCATCTGTGGCTGCACCCGCACCATCCCCCAAACCGAAGGGACTTAGCCCTCCTTTCTCAGTGGGTCAGGGATCTGGCTGTAGCTCTGCTGGGTCCTGGACTCGGGGCTCTCCCAGACTGTGGTCCAGGGGTCAGCAAGGTTGGGGTGCAGCTAAAGGCTGGGGCTTTCCTTGGGGAGCTCCCAATTGTCCCAGGCAGCTCCCCCAGGGCAGGCAACCAGAAGAACATGAGAGAAGGCCTGGCAGAAGCCTCAAGCTGCATGGACAGCAAGCTCCCTTTGTTTATGTCTCCCTCCCAAGCAAGGCCCCACGTCTCTGCACCAGAGAAGGGGGGTTGTCCTGGGAGACAGGGTCCTTGGGACAGCTTGGAAGCTGCGGTCCACAGAGGGGAGCTTGTGGGGAAGAGGAAAGCTTGGAGCAGAGAAGGTGGGAGATGCACACCCCCAGGCCAGGAGCAGCATGCAGGGACCCCGAGGCTGCCCAAGAGCAATCATGGGGGCTGCAGGGGCCTCCTAAGGACAGGCTCACAGGAAGGCAGGAATTTGTTCCCTGTGGTGCAGGTGGTGGAGGTATTTACATGAGCAAGTGACAGAGACTAATGTACACTTCACAGGCGTCCTCTCCTTGCTGCTTTTGGCTTTAGTTTCTTTTGGTTTGGTTTGCTTTTTCCAGATAAGATCTCACTGTGTATTCCAGGTTGGCCTTGAACTGTGTATTCCAAGCATGTGCCACCACATCCAGTGTAAGAGTATGGAATTCTTCTGAAAGAGAGTATTTACTTGGGGTAAGAAGAGAGACGCAGTTAATTCTCAGAGACTTAGAGACCTGGATCCCTTTTCCTGATACCCCGGGGGCAGTTTCCCAGGAGTACGGACTGAAAATGCGTCTCTAGCCTCATCTGGCCTCCCTCCCTGCCTACAATACTCTGTAACTCCCGCCCACGCCCACGCCCACGCCCACACCCACAGCAGGCGGAGCCTCACCAGCATGAGACCTCAGCGGGGGTTTCACCACCACCGCAGTCCGCTCGCCTTGTACTGAGACAGGTGGGCACCAGCAGGGCCACCAGAGGCCAGGCCACCGACCACAGGGTGCCTGGGAAGGAAGAGCCTCAAGGACCAGGGAGCGAAGACAGAGCTGTCAGGCAGGACACAGATGGGGCAGGGCGAGGAGGCTCCCGTGAGATGGGGCTCAGTCAATTAGGAAGACGGGATGGGGGGGCAGGCTCAGCCTGGGCAAGCAGTGAGTGCACTTGGGGCATCAGGACCCTCTGAGTGACTGTGCCGGCACAGCTTCACACTGTCTCCCGCCTGCCACGCCTCAGGGCTGCAGATTCACTGAGTGGATGCAGGCGTGGGAACCACAGGCCCAGCTCAAGCCTGCTAAGCCCAGACCAGGAGGGGATTAAGGATCAGACACTGTTGTGACAGCCAGGTCACCAGCAGCGGGGCTGTGCCTTGGTGAGATAGAGGGACATGGGCCTGGTAGCTGAGGGGGGCTGTGGTTTAGGGAGCCCAGGGGCAACATAGTGGGACTCCGGGAGAGGGGGACAAATCTAACTTTTGCTCTGCTTGGGTTCATCCCACCCTGACATGGACATGGCAAGTAGGATGCTCCAGAAACCTGGGCACAGAGAGGCAGGAGTGAGTGCCCCCATTCTCAGGTGCCAATTGTGCGTGGCCCAGCTGTGCCCCTTGGAGCCTATGTCCTCTGCATTTCTGCAAAGGCAAGTCTGCACCTCCGCGTTCCCAAGGTGACACACGAGTGGCAAACAGCCTGGGGCAGGGGAGGAGTTTGTCCAGGTCAAGGCCAGCACCAGACAGCTGGGTATTCAGCCTCTATCTCTGTCTGCCCCCAAAGCCAAGTTTCCCCAGCCCCCAATCCTGGGCCCAGCTGTCCCCTCCAGGCAGAGGCCACCCTAGGGCTCCTTTTTCTGTCTCAGTCCCTGGTTCCCTCCTTCACAGCACATCCCATGCCCCTTGGGGACTGTCGCACTGACTTGCCTCCTGGCTCCATGTCCCCTCCTTCCCTGTGCATTCTGGGTGGTGAGGACAGACGGGGACTTGATCCTTACGATCCCCTTGTCCCTGCCTGCTGCCTGCACGTGGCAGATGCCCCCCAGAGTTTGTGGAGTCCAAGCTGCATGGGCTCTAGCAGGAGCACAGCCCCTTGCCCACTGGGCATTTGAGGCAGAAAAGCAGGCCTGAGCCTGGGGCAGGGAGGCGGGAACAGCAGGCCTGGGAGCGGCCGACAAAGGGCATGTGTTCTAGGGCCCAGTGTACTTCCTGGGTTTCCATTGCAGGAAGTTTGGAACCGGGCGGGCACCTGCCTATCGGTGACACCGACACCAGGGCTGGTGAGGGAGAGTTGGCCTGGGTGTCCCCTCCATCTGGAGCAGCCTGGAACTGGGAGAGGCGGCCAGAGGTGAACAGCTGGTGAGTGGGGGCACCTGGGTCCCCACCCTCCCCTAAACTGTCCCAGAGAGCCTGGACCCTAGACTGAGTCACTGTGACCTTGGGCCAGGCTGCAAGTCAACCCATGGGTGCTCTGCAGTTCTCTGGTGACATGGTGGGGTGGCTCACGGAATACTGCGTGTGTCTTGTTCACCTGAAGTAAATAAGCTCCTGCATCACCAAGCACTTGACAAGAGGTCCTACAGCCCCTAGGCAGGTCCTTCCCATCTCTGTGTCCAGTGGGCCCCTCCTCCCTGCAGCTGGGGCCATGGGGCGCCTTCTCCTAAGGGTGCTGCAGAGGGTGCAGTGCAGGGCTCACCCAGCAGGTACAGGCTGCCACGGGGCCTGGGCAGCCTTGGTTCCTGCATCTGCGGGGGTGACTCCTGTCCCTGTGACTGGCAGACCAGTGTGCCCAGAGGCCCCTGCTGTTCTGGCTTGAATCAATTCTCCCCTCACCCCTTGGGACCTCAGCGTCCTGGTCCATGCTGCAGGAATGATCAGCCCTGGAGCCCAGGTCCGGGACTAGCAGCGGTCTGTAAGTGGGCACACAGGCGGCCCTGGTGAATGGCAGCCACTGGAGTTCCTGCCTTTGTTACTACAGGGTGACTGTGGGGACAGAACGGAAAAAGAGGTGACAGGAGCTAGGGAGGGGCGACCCTCAGAAGGCAAGGAACTCAGGAGGAGGATGGGACAGAGCACCAGATCCCGCAGGGCCGCGCCCCCCATGCCCCTGGCCTGCACCGCCCTGGCTTTAATCAGAAGAACAATCTGTTTGCTTCTGAATCAGACCCAGATTCCTTTCCCAGCAATGTTCCTGAGGCCTCCAGGGACCCAGCGGCCCATCCCTGCCCCAGTCAGGGCCCCAGAGCTCAGGGCCCAGACTCCGATTCCCTCCCACCAAGTTCCAGCTACTCCAGCTTGGGGGAGGGTTTCGGGGGGGGGGGCAAGCCGAGCCGCTGCTCGCCAGCTGGGCCTCACCTGCAGGAGTCCGCTGGGAACAGCAAATAGACGTTCCCCACCCAGGGCATTCCCCGAGCAGCCCCAAACTCATTATCTATGGCGCGGACCCGTGCTCCTCTCTCGCGGTCCCCTGCCTTCATCCCCAGGCCACGCTGGAGAGGTAGGCAGCGACGCCCCCACTTTCCAGATGAACACAGCAAGGCTCGGGGTGTCGGAGTGGCTGCCCAGGGCCCAACTTTAGCGCAGGGCCAGAGAAGCCAGGTCTGCCTGACCGCTAAGATCCAAGCGGATCCCGGGACAGACCGGACCCGGGAAGGTGGGGCCGCCGACCCAGGTGACCCGGCCGGCCCGGAGAGGGGAGGACCCCTCGCGGGGTGGGCGGCGGGAGGACACCACCTCCAGGCGGGGAGGGGCGGGAGGAGTGGTCCGGGAACAAAGGGAGGGGGCGGGGGCGGGGGCGGGCCGGCAGGTGGGGGGGCAGGTGGGGGCGCCGGCCCGGCCCCCTCCCCCACGTCACCTTTTATGGTAGCGGCGCGGCCGGCGAGGGCGAGGGCGGGGAGGCGCGGGCGGGGCGCGGCGGGCTGCGCGCTGGGCTGGACGGCCGCGAGGCGCTCGCAGGTAAGGGGCGCGCGGGTCCCCGGCCGGGCTCCCTGCCTCAGCCTCACGCTGGCGACCCCGCTGCGCCCGGGCGGACCCCAGCCCGGCGTTCCCGGGGGTCACGGGCGAGGCGGCGCCGCCCGCTGTCCTCTCGCCCCAGTGCCCGGGTCCGAGGCTCAGCCGGGCGGCGGGGCCGGGTTCCTGCCCGGAGCCGGGCGCGGGGCGCGGGGCGCGGGGCGGGAGCTCCCGCACAAAGAGGACCGCGTCCGCACATGGATCGAATTAGCGTCCCCGCGGTGACCGGGCCGGCGCCCCGCTCGGCTGCCCGCGGTAGGGGGCCGGGCTTCCGGAGCTCAGGGGTCGCGAGGGCAGCAGGGGCCCCAGGTGCTCGTTCAGCCGGTGTGGCTGGAGGGCCTGGGGCCGGGCGATCCCCGAGGTGGGTGCCTGGGGTGATCTTGGCGTCGCCCCCTGCAGCCCAGATCTGGGAACCCGGGACCGCGGCTGGGCAGCGCCCTGTTTCCGGCTCTAAGGGTGAACTGAGTCTCCGATGGGGGAGGGGGCACCTCGTTGCCCTCAGGGGCTAAGTAACCGACCGACCCCCTCTTTCCCCCCATGGATACCCAGATCTGGAGCGCCCTCTCCCCTGTCTTCTCCATCACCCTCTGCGTGGACACTATATTCTCAACTTTATGACCCAGACCAGGCCCAGAGGGGTTGTTGTATGACCTGGTCCGGGGTCACTTAGCAGGAAAGCGGTGGGGAGCAGCTGGAGCCCAGCTCTGTGCCTCTTCCTGTCCCCGAGGTATAGGAAAGAGGGATCCTTCTATAAGGCTATGAGCCCCTTCTGGGAGCAGCATTGGGGTGCAGTCTCACCCCCGCCCAGCAAAATTTAACCCTGGACCCAAACCCAGACTGCTTTCTCGAGGCCTTAAGGACAGAAGTTGAGAGATGGTTCCAAAGGTGCTTCTGGACAGGACAAGGACTGGGAAGGGGCATGCCCTCCCCAGCCGGCCCTTCCCCCGCTGGCTGCCGCTGCCTGAGCTGGCTGGTGGCCGGCTGTCCCAGCCTCCTTCCTTCCTCTTGGCAGGAAATGACTTTCCTTCCCTTTGTCCCCACTTTCTCCCTTTACCCAACTGGATCTCGGGCCCCCCCTCCAGGGAGGTCCCCTGACTGCTGCAGGCCAGGAATTTAGAAACTTGGTAACATATCTGAAGAATGACCCTCCACTGGTGGCTGTGGGACCAAAGGGAATGGCAGTCCCCTTTCCCCATGAGATCTGACCCTTTGAAAATCCCCAGCTCAGCATCATCCCCTGGGGCTTGAGGGCCCTGCCGCTATTTAGGAGGGGTTGGGGGGTGTTGGCCAGCTGTGAGCATCTGGCCAAGCGCCTTCCCAGAAAGCAGGTCGGGTTTCCAGAGCGGGTCAGGGTCAGAGCAGGCCGGGAGAGATGGAGGGGGGCCTGAAGGTCCGCAGCTGCTCTGGGCCCCACCCCACGGTGTTGAACATACCAGAATGGGTCATGCCACTCTGGGGGGAGAGCAGCCTGGGGACTTGGGTGGGGTGCTGTCCACCCAGGGAAGAAAAGTGCGTGGTGTTGGGGCTGAGGATTTAGCTCAGCGGCATAAGCGCCTGCCTTACAAGCAGGCAGTCGTGAGTTCGATCCCCGGTACCAATGAAAAAGAAAAAAACAAACAAAAAAAAAGTGCGTGGTGTCGCTGGGCATGGTGGTGCAAGTTGGTAATGCCAGCCCTTGGGAGGCTGAAGCAGGACATTTATTGTGAGTTTGAGACCATTCTGGGCTACATAGTGAGACCTTGCCTCAAAATAATTTAAGGGTCAGGGATTTAGCTCAGTGGCACAAGTGCCTACCTGGTAAGTGCAAGATCATGAGTTCAGTCCCCAGTACCCCTCTGCCCCCCCAAAAAAGAGAACCTTGAGTATTGAGGACCATAGAGCTCTGGGTACAGGGCCTGGCACAGTCAGCACTGTTGTGATTTCATCTTTAAATCTCAAATGCGTTTTGAAAATTGTGTGCAAAAATAGCTTCTTAAGCACCTAATGAAGTATAAAAGTAGAGACTATGGCAGCCACTGTAAACGTATACTTCCAGATACCACTTGGGTAGCAGTCGGAAAGAATTTTTAAAGTGAGTGTGGTAGTGCCTGCCTGTCATCCCAGCCTTCTGGGAGGCTGAGGCAGGAGCACTGCAGATTCAAGCCCAGGCTATGTAATTTAGCTATTTAGCAAGACGCTGTCTCAAAATAAAAAAATAATAAAAGGGCTAGGGAAATAGCTCAGTGTGAGGGTCTTGGTTTCCATTCCTAATACGAGGGGAAAAGAAAAACACTTCCAAAGTTATTTCATTATCAGACATTCTTAACCAAATGTCTAAATCAACTTCAGAGGAATTTGGGACGGCACTGTTGTCTTTGTCACTGTTACTCTCAGGAGAGAGCCTGGGGACAACGCACTTGGAGAGACACTGGGAGGCTTGTGAGTGGCCACCCGGGCTCTGAGTCCACTATCTGGGGCCCTGGTGTCCTGCTGCGTCCACTGCCCACCCTCCTCTCCACCCGCCTGTGCAGGGCTGCAGGGTGACGTCGGTGAGCCAGGCACACACTGGGAGAGAGATAAAGGACGTGTTTTTAGCTCTGGGCACGGTCACTGGGTGCCCAGCAAGGACTCCGGAGCTGTGTGCCCCGTGTGTCCTCAGCACGGCCTCACTCTGGGAGGCTGCCATCTGCAGGAGCCACCCGAGATGGAAATTCACAGCCCTTTCCTGGGGCTGGGGTGTCACCGGCTCAGGCCTGTGCCTCAGTCACCTGCACAGTGAGTGGCTCCGGAACAAGCAGGAGTCACAGGCGTTGGTAGTGGCCCGGCGTGTCCTGTGGTGGCTGTCATCACCCAGACTGCTGCCGAGGGGCCAGGGCCAGGGGCCTGGGGAGCTTCACGGAGTGGGTGACATTTGAGCTGGACCTTGGGAAGCTAAGTCCACCCCATCAGGTCAGGAGGGAGAAGAGAAGCAGTGGTAACAGTGGGCATCAGGTAAGAGGAGAAAGACAGCCGGAAGGGAGCGGCAGGACAGTGGGAGAGGCCGTGGGTCTGGGGGGGTCCCGGGGGGTCCTGCTCAGCTTCTAGAGCACTTGTCTGGATACACAGACCCTGGCTTCCAACCCAAGGCCACAGGAATGGAGAGTTTATTCCTTTTTTTTTTTTTTTTGTCTTTGTGGCAGGATCTCACTATGCAGTTCAGGCTGGCCTTCAGCTCATTTTGTAGCTTAGGCTAGTCTCAAATTTGCAATGATCCTCCTTCCTCAGCCTCCTGAGTGCCAGGATTACAGGTGTGCACCTGGTTCAGAGGTGGTAGGGAGGCTGGGAAGGCAGAGGAGACATAAACGGTGTGGTTTGCGTGCTACGAAGATTGATGCACAGGAGATTAGAGGTGGAGACCAGTCATGCCCCACCCCCGCGATGCCCCAGGCCTGAGCCAGGGCCGAGGCTTTCGAGATGGGCCCCAGGGAGAGACGCTGCCAGGAGAAGGCTGAGAAGAGGATGCTGGCTTCCCCAGCAGGGTGGTGCAGTTCACAGGCCCCGGATTCAAAGGCCAGCTGTGCCACTGCAACCTCTCTTGTCTGTTTCCTCACCCGGAGCCTGGTACAGAGCCTGCGTGAAGGAGCGGCAGGGGGCCAGGCAGAGCCACACAGGGTCCCCGCTGAGGCATCCTGACCTTCCCTCCTCCCCTCCACAGCAGGCTGTCCAGGACCCCCAGAACTAAAGCTTTCCAAGGACATTCGGGATCCCAGGTGAGGGAGGTGGCCTGGGGGTGGCCCTGGTTCTGGGGTTCTGAGACCAAGAAAGTCATCCCCATGCAGGGAGAGGCAGTGGGGTGTTTGGGGCCCAGCCCTGTGGCCACATCGCCTAGTGGGCACCCACCTTCCCTACTGGGAACCCCCTTGGCTGGGTGGGTGGCGTGGGGGTGGCCACTCCATCCTGATGGGGAGGGAAGCCCTGAGCGCCCTGCTCCTGTCCCCACAGGCCCTGGGGCAATGGCCGCCAAGCCCGAGAAGAGAGTCGCCTCCTCCGTGTTCATCACCCTGGTGCCCCCGCGTCGCCATGTGGCCGTGCCTGAGGAAGTGAGGCAGGCGGCTGGCGAGGCTCGGCATGGCCGGCCCTGGGAGCCCCCTGCCCCCGTGAAGGCGCCTGGGGCTGGTGCAGTCAGGAAACCCAGCCCCTGGGCTCCTCCTGGCAGAGCTGCAACCGTGGTGCCAGCTGTGTCCCCTCAGCTTTCCAATGGAGGTAAGAAGGGGGTATGGTGGAGGGCACAGGGGACAGACTGCCAGCCGGTCACACATTCACGCTTCAGGCGGCTCGGGCCATGCAGGCCCTGGGAGCCACCTGCCCGGTGTGAATCCTGGGCGCCTTCATTTCTCAGCTGGTGATGCTGGCTGGCCGCTCACCCTCTCTGTGCCTTAGTTTCCCAATCCATAACACAGGAATAAAAACAGCACCTTCCTCAGAGGCAGCCTAAGGATCGGTGAGTTAACACGTGTGTAAGGCAGCCAGCTGTACATCTGCCAGGCGGAAGGCGCCACGTTTTCAGTCTTCCCTGCAGTTGTTATTCTGGGGAATGAAAAGATAGAGAAGGCAGCGTGGGGTCGCCTCCTCGTGCCTAGCATCCCAGCACTCAGGAGGCTGAGGCAGGAGGATTGTTATAAATTCAAGGGCAGCCTGGGTTACATGGTGAGTTCAAGGCCAGCCTGAACTACATAGCGAGACCCTGTATCAAGAAAAGCAAAAACAAAAAATTTCAGCCTCCTAGTGGGAGAATCAGAGATGAAAAAATCCTGGAACTGGAAGGGGTAAAACGCACCCTGAGGTGAGCTGAGGTTAGGTGCCTTCTCTGAGCAGGTGACACTCAGCTGAGACCCGAGTGGCAGGGTGGTGCCGGCCGGGGTGGGGGGCAGAGCTCGAGGGGCCCCAGGGCAGCAGTGAGCTCCGCGGCCACAGGGTGTGGGAGCGGTTTTGGTTTCCTTTGCACTGTCCCTTGCCCGCGCAGGTGACCTGCTTTCCACCTCGGCCTCCTCTTCCACAAGTGGGAATTAGGCTCTGCATGTGACCGATTGGTCACAGACGGACACTTCCTAAATGACCCCTTTACCTGGAGTGATCCAGGTGTGTGTGACCTTGTTGCTGGGTGACAGGAAGCCTCTGTCCTCTTTCCCTGTGATCCCCGGGCCCTGCTGTCAGGTTGGGTGGATCCAAGGAAGGTGACAGCCAGGGGCCTGGGCTACCGGCTGGAGCACCGAGGCACTGAGATGCCAAGGGTGACAGGCCCACCCAAAGTGACAGCTGGGCCCCTTGGTGCTAGTCAGGTGTCCAGTCTGTCCATCACCATGGAAACCATCCCAGGCCAGAGCCGGTCCCAGGGCGCCATACCCATGCCCGGCGTGGGGTGGGGGAGTACATGGACGTTCACGTGACATCCTCCTCCGTTGTGACGGCCACTGTCAGTCTGCCTTTCCTTCCTTACCCCCAGCCCAGGGACACACACGGGCTCCTTCCAACTGCGTCTCCCTGGAAGAGACCTTGGAAGAGACCTGGAAGAGACTCAGCAGCGTGCACCTGTCAGTTTGGGGGCCTCAGCAGGACCCGGGAATCTCAGGTCCCACCTTGCTGGGATGGTATAGGTTCTAGGCCAGATCCTGGTCACAGCGCACAGAAGCTGGCTGGCTGCACCTGCTGCTTCAGGCCATCTCCACGGTGACTGCCATCTGTCACCTCAGCCAGTGCTGGTCCTTGGGCATCCACAGCGTATTTTTGTGGCTTCTCCTCCAGGGGTGAGTGCCCACCCCACACCACGAAACACACCCATCTGCACAGGCACTGCCTCTTCTCAGTCCGAGGCCAGTTTTTCTCAGCCTGCTTTCATTTTTTTTCCCTTGAGACACCATCATAGCCCAGCTGGCCTCAGAACTCCCTGCAACCCTCCTGCCTCAGCCACCCAAGTGCTGGATTATTCACCAGGCTCTCAGCATTTCCCCCCCTCATCTTTTTTGAGAGAAGGTCTCACTATGCAGTTCAGACGGGTCTGGAACCTGCAAGCATACTCTTGCCTCAGCCTCCCCAGTGCTAGGATTACAGGCGTGTGCCACTACACTCAGCTCTTCTCAGTTTCTTTTTAAGAAACTGCTGTCCCTCTCCCTCAGGGACCCCTGGGCAGGTTCACCTGCTCAGCTAGGTGGGGGGCTGCGTGTCCTGTATTTCTGCCCCCTGAGCACGGCCTGATGCGCTGAAGCACCAGGCGAGCGTGGGAGCGGACCTGACTCAGGGCGCAGCCTGCGTTCCACACTGCACCCTCCGGGCGCGTCTCTGTCTCCGGGCTTGTTCTAACACGGCAGCCGCCTCTGGGACTTCTGACCCAGCAGGGAATTTGCATTTCTTACCCTTCTTCCGGGTGATGCCACTGCCCCAGCCTGGAGACCATACACTGGGAACAGTACATGGTAGTCGGGACTGAACTCTGAGAAGCGCTGTATCCCTGGGCTATACCAGCCCAGGTCCGTTTTATATTCATTCGGATCCTGGGTCTCAGTTGCCCAGGCTGGCCTCAGATTTGTGATCCTCCTGCCTCAGCTTCTCAGGTACACAACACTATGCCGAGCTTAAAAAAAAAGAACCCCTGGGGGCTTGAGGGTTGGCCCTGGGTTTGATCCCCAGACACTGTCTCGTTATGCAGTTTAGGCCGGCCTTGAACTCCCTGTGTAGCCCAGGCTGGTCTTGAACTCTCTCTCGGCAGTCCTCCTGCCTCAGGCTCCTGAGAACTGGGATTACAGGTGTGCACCACCACGCCTGGCTCTGATACTTTAAAATGTGCAAGCAGTGTGTAGGGGCCAGGTCAGGGTTATGGGCTTCTCCATTGCTCATACGGCTTCTTCGGTGCCGGGAATGTCACAGTTGTCCCCGCTGGTGGCGGTGAGCTATGATTCATTCCCACTGTCCACAGTCACCCTGGTGAGTGGAAAAAGTTTCCTGCCCACCCAGCTGCACCCATACGTTAACCCTGGTGTCCATCAACAGGCTGGTGGATGGCGGGACAGAGTGCTGACTCTAGTCCTAATGTGTCAGGCTGGTGAGACTCAGGCCACGGCAGTGTGTGGCACGGTGTGACCTTCAGGCCAGCCTGTGTCTCAGCTCCGGAAACTTTAGCAGAAATGCGATTCTCAGAGGCTTCCGAGTCTCAGCGCTTCTGAGTCAGAACCCAGTCAGGCGGGGCCGGGGCTGTGTTTGAGCCCCGAGGCCTGCGATTGCATCAGGACCCCGTCTGCTTTCCTGGGTGCCTGGACAGGGTGTACCCCAGTGACGGGGACACCGGCTTCCTGCATCCCTTTTATTCTGGGACACTGAGCACCACACGTCCTGAATCTGGCTGTGGACTGAGAAAAGAGCGTTTGCTCAGTGGTGCCCGTAGCTGGGACAGTAGTACCATGTGAGCCCCTGCCACCCTAGCGTCTGCTGGGGTTACCGTGGCTTTGATGGAGACTGCCCGTCCCTGGAATGCTGTCAGCCCCTGATGACCATCATGGGAATCTGTTCTGGAACTGGGCGGCACCAGGGTCACCTGGAGGACTTTGGTGTCGCATGGTGGCTCCGGCCTCACAGCGGCTGAGCCTGAGGGCAGGCTGGGCTGGGAAGTTGCATCTCTAGCAGGCTTCTGAGTGACAGCCAGGCTGGGGTCCAGAGCCCAGGCTTAGGGTGTCACGCTGGGTCCCACAGGGAGGTCTCTTGGCAGGCGGCCCCTGGGGATGTCCACACCTGCCGCTCTGCAAGGCCTGGTCCCCTGCCACTCCGCTGCCTGTCATCTCACGGGCCCCAGCAGCCCTCAGGGTCCCTGCCCATTTTCCACTGCGCAGTTTAAGACTCCGAAGTGAAGTTTTAGTGTGAGCCTGCACAGCGAGTCACTTAGGTGGTGCCGTCCCTCAGCCTTTGGCCACCTACTGTCCCACCTTCGGTCCATGACTTTCTCTCCCTTCCTGTTGCAGGCTGCTCTCAGCCCCCTCCAGTCCTAGACACTGAGGACGCCCTGGACCTCCCGCCTCCTCCACCACCACCCCCAGCCTTCCTTCCTCCAGACCAGGAGCCCCCAGTGCTGCTGGGCGAGACCCTCAGCTGTGCCCTGGAGCAGCTGCCCCCGCCCCCGCCCCCACTGCAGGTACCGCACCAGCCCTGGTCTGGAGACCACAGGGCGGGCCCTGTGCCAGCCATGACACCCACCCAGCCAGGCGTCCCACAGCCCCTGGAGGGGGAGGTGCCATGACCTGTCCCCTAGGGACCCATTCATCCCCCGGCACACAGGAAACCGGCGTGGTCCCCTGCTATGCCTGTGGGGGCCTTGGGCTCCTCTGCGCCATGGGCCTGGAACAGGGCTGACAGAGCTGCCATGGCTGCTGGGTGACTTCTCCTGTTCCTTCTCTGCCCAGCATCCTCAGGCCCTAACAGAGGGACTTGCAGGCCTGGCTCGGCCCCCTCACCACAGCTCAGAAGAGGAGCTGCCGCCTCCCCCAGAAGAGCCCGTCAGTGTCATGGAGAGAGAGGTGACCACAGGTAGGGGTGCAAACCAGGGGAACAGGGACCCCACCTGTGCCTCGAGGCTCACACCCCACAGTGACAGGCGCAGCACTTGTGCTGTGACACAGTGTTTAGTTGCTGGTTTGTTTTGTTTTGGTGCTGGAGACTGAACACAGGGTCTTCTCCCTGAGCTGTGTCCCCAGCCCTTTTTATTTGGAAGCAAGGTTTTACTAAATTGCCTGGCCTGGGCTTGAACTTTTGAATCTGTTTTCTTCAGCCTCCAGAGTGCTGGGATTACAGGTGTGCAACATCAAATTTCATTTTTTGGTGGGGGGAGGGTACTGGGATTTGAACTCAGGACCTTGAATTTGTCAGGTAGGCGCTGTGCTGCTGAGCTGGACCCCAGCACACCACCAGATTTAACCTCTTTTTACCTTGATTTAATTAAAATCAATTAAATATTGATTCACACAGCTTTTTGCTGATAGTAAAAAAATCCCTTGAATTTTTTTTCTCAGTATTTACATTTCAATTTTGTTTTTCATGCTAGAAATTGAACCCAAGCCTTCGTATTGAATTATATCTCCAGTTCTTTTTTTTTTTTTTTTGAGACTAAGTCTTATTAAATCACTACATTGCCCAGGCTAGGATCAGACTTGGGATCTTTTTGCCTCAACCTCCCCACAATGCTGTAATTACCGATGTGTGCCACCATACCCTACTCCCTTATGCAAAATAAAAGAACAAAAGGGGTTCGCAGGGCGAGTCCCCCCTCAGCCTCCCTCAGTGCGCCCAGCTCCCTGCAGACACCGGCAGCTTCTCTCAATGTCCTGCTGTCTGGCCAGGGATGTCCTAGAAACACACAGCAAGTACTGGACAGTGTCAGGTGTGGTGGTGTCCACCTGAGACTCCAGCAAAGAACCCTACGGGTCCCCAAAAGTGCACACCGAATGGCCCTCATCCAAAATCCTCCAGCGGCCTTTTGGTTTTCAAACTTTGGAGGGTTTTGACATGTCCAAAATAGCCCCTAAGTCGAAACGCAAAGCCCACTGGGGCCCTTGCGCACTTGTGTTTCCCTGCAGCCCGCCGTGCGGTGTGGAATTTCCCGCATGTGTGGCGTTGTTGGGGCACAAGACATTTCTAACTTGTTTGCTTGAGACAGGCTCTCACTGGCCTCAAACTCAACTGTGTAGCCCAGGCTGGCCTCAAACTCACAGCAGCCCTCATGACTCAGCCTCCTGAAGGCTGGATTCCAGTGTGCACCACCACGCCGGGCCATCTGTTGGATCTTGGAGCATTTCAGATTCGGGGCTTTCAGACTCAGGAGGCAGTAAACAGGCAGCCGTGAGCCTTGTGCCCTAGAGTCTGGGCATCTTGCTTTTTTTTTTTTTTTTTTTTGTCTTTTTGAGACAGGGTCTCACTGTGCAGTTCAGGCTGGCCTTGGGCTCACTTTGTAGCCCAGGCTGGTCTCGAACTCGAAACCATCCTCTTGCCTCAGCCTCCCGCGTGCTAGGATTACAGTTGCGAGCCACCAGGCGTGAGCTCAAGCGCCTTGCTCTTTCTGAGGGCTGTGCAGGGCTCGTCACATGGACAGGGCAGAGGTGCTGCCGGATTCTTGGGTGCTTCCTTGCTGTGACTCACAGCCGAGCTGAGCCACTGCGCAGGCTGACCTGGTACTTGGGGCTTTCTGAGGTGAATTCCTGGGAGCGGGAGAAGCACTGGATCAGCTTCCTGAGTCATCATCCTACACTTCCCACGGCCTCCGGGGCCGGTCACTTCTTAAATACAGTTGTGACACAGCTGTCTCAGGCTGGGCCTAGGGACACACATGATAGTGAAATGTGGGAGGAGCTGCACCAGGTTTCGAACCCAGAACCCTCACACTGAGCTCCATCCCAGCTGTTCTTATTTTTTTAATGTTGATACAGGGTCTCACTAGGTTGCCCAGGTGGGACTTGAACTTAAGATCCTCCTGCCTCAGCCTCCCAGAATGCCAAGACTGCAGGCATGCTTTATCACACTAGACAAAAAAACCTGATTTTTATATAGTCAGATATACCACTCTTCCTTTTTTCTGGCTTCTGGATTTTATGTTGCACTTAAAAAGGACTTCTCTAAAGCTATAAATACTTGGGTGTGGTGCCACTCACCTGTAATCTCTGTACTCGGGAGGCTGAGGCGGGAGGACTGCCTGAGTCCCAGGCCAGTCCAGGCTGTGTAGTGAGAAACATTTTTTTAAAAGCAGTGGCCAAGTTTATTCAAGAAAGTGAAAGCGAAGAGTGAGGGAGAAACTGGCTCTGCAGAGTAAGCTCACGCCAAGTAGGAGGAGAAGAAGCAATAAAAAGATACCGTGGAGAAGGCCGGTGGGCTGCCGTGAGGAGAGTCCTGATAGCTTCATAGTGAGTTTAAGGCCAGCCTGAATTACAGAGCAGGACCCCGTCTCAAAAAAAAAAGAAAGAAAGAAAAGAAATTTACATAGATGTAAAGAATTGCTTAGCTTCTTCTAGTGGCTTCATTTTTCTCATATCTTTTTTTTTTTTTTTTTTGGTCCCAGGGATCGAACTCATGACTGCGCATTTGCAAGGCAGGCACTTATGCCGCTGAGCTAAATCCCCAGCCCCTCACTTATATCTTTTGATTCACTCAAAATTATCTGGGTATGAGGTGTTGCTATTGCAACCTCTTTTTGTAGATGACAATGCAGTTATCCTAATACTGCAATTTTTTGTGTCTATGTGTGTAGCTTTTTGGTTTTTGTTGTCTAAAAAACTTTGATAAAGGAACAAAATCAGAGCTCCAACCCTCCCAATCCCACGTTATATCATGAACTTACATCAATCATGACAAAACGGCATTGATATCAAGATAGACAAACCACCAAGGGGCCAATGTGAAGTCCCAAAATAGATACCCACATAACAGGTTTTGATTTCTGGCAAAGATGCAAAAGCAGTTAAGTGGAGAAACGGTTGTATCCTGAGTAAATATACTGGACCAACCGGAGATGCAAAAAACCGAAACCTTACAGCACATCAACAACTTCTTAAGACATCCAGAGTCAACTCGGAATGGCTGGCGGTGTGGGAAGTAGAGGCAGCTGTGGCCGAGTCGGTGCTTGGCTGAGGTCATTCTCTCTGGGGAAATACACATTTTTTTCCTTATCGCAGTAATGAAACAGTACGATGTTTATGCACGCATGTGTTCTCAAGGCGCATGAATGCAGTTTTTCTGTTGTTTGTTTGAGATGAGGTCTCACTGGTCTCCAAGTCACAGCGATCCTCCTGCCTCAGTCTCCTGCATGCTGGGATTACAGGCACGCACCACCGTGCCCGAATTTGTGTGGTCTTACTGTATAGTCCAGGCTGACCTGGAACTCTCCATCCTCCTGTCTCAGCCTCCTGACTTTTGGGGTCGCAGGTGTGCACCGCCACACCCGGCTCCCATTCCATTCCGATGTTCCTCTGACCCTCCGTGTTTGTCAAATAAAGAAGCCGAGGGGCAGGCAGGGGACCCGAGGCCACGCCTTCGTCATTTGCTGGGTGAGATTGGGCCCTGTCCTCCAGGCTGGGCTGGTGATGAGCTATGTTCCCTTTACCCCAGATGTCTGTGCCTTCTGTCACAAGACTGTGTCCCCCCGGGAGCTGGCCGTGGAGGCCATGAAGAAGCAGTACCACGCCCAGTGCTTCACCTGCCGCACCTGCCGCCGCCAGCTGGCCGGGCAGCGCTTCTACTCAAAGGAGGGGCGGCCCCTCTGTGAGCCGTGCTACCAGGTACCCGTGCAGGAGCCAGGGTGGGGCGCGGGGACAGGCACAGAGTTGGTTGTCTCAGTGGTGGTGTGGGATTGAATTCCCCACAGACTCAGAAAGGAGAGCACTGGGCGGAGAGATTTAGCCTAGCTTGGGGGTTGGTGCCTGGAATCCCAGCACTCTGGGAAGCTGAAGCAGGAGGATCACCTCCATTTTGAATCTTGGGCCAGCAGGAGCTACATACACATCGAGCTTCTGTCTCAAAATCCAAAATTGAATTTAAAAATAACAGAAATAGGTGGATTGGGGAAGCGATGGTATGGGTCCCCAGCAGCAGGGGCTTGGGGAGGGGATGCCTCGGGTGGCTCTGAGGCCTCAGTCCTCTGCCCAGGATACCCTGGAGAAGTGTGGCAAGTGCGGCAAGGTGGTCCTGGACCACATCACCAGGGCTCTGGGCCAGGCCTTCCACCCGGACTGCTTCACGTGCGTGACCTGTGCCCGGTGCATCGGCGCCGAGAGCTTCGCCTTGGACAGCCAGGACCAGGTGTACTGTCTGGACGACTTCTACAGGTATGGCCTCGGCCCGCCCCAGCCCTGTTCTGAGGACCCTAAATCCCCCTGCTGGTGAGCATTAAAGCTTCATTTCCAAACTGGGCCACCTCGGGGCGCAGGGCTGTGGTCCCAGCACTCTGGGAGGCTGAGGAGGGGGATGAGATAGAAAGGTTCAAGCCCCGCCTAGATAACTTAACTTAGTAATTACCCTGCCTCAGAATAAAAAGGACTGAGGATGTTACTCAGTGCAGAGGCACCAGGTTCAAGCCCCAGTCCTGAGAAAAGAAAACAAAAGTTGTGCCCTGTAATAAACCAGTAATAGACCAGTGAGAAGAATCCCAGGCCAGAAGTGCACTGCTCCGCTCCCAAACGCACTTACACACACACACACACACACACACACACACACACACACTCTCTTCCCCTCCCGCTGGTGACACCCCAGGAAGAGACCCGAGCCCGCCCAGCCCTGCAGCTCGTTCCCCATCATCCTCACTGGGCTCCCTGCCCCCTAGAAAATTCGCCCCCGTGTGCAGCATCTGCGGGAATCCCATCATCCCCCAGGACGGGAAGGATGCCTTCAAAATCGAGTGCATGGGGAGAAACTTCCACGAGAACTGCTACAGATGCGAGGTGAGCCATGCCCCGTGAGGCGTGGGGTGGGAGCCGGGCTCCTCTTCTGGAGTCGAGGAGTATGAGTGGTTACAGACAGCTGTGATCGGAAGTGTGTTCCCGTAGCCTCCTAGGAGGCTGAGGCAGGAGGGACTGCGGTTCCAGCCCAGCAGCAATTGGGCACACAAAGCCAGGTTTATGATCTCCAAATTAGAAGCCCAGGTCACAGAGAGGGGACCGCGCAGGAAGCCACGGCCCTGGGAAGGCCTCTGACTGCATCTGGACCTGGGGGGCCAGGGTGCTTGGATTGACAGCGTCTGGGCTGGGCTAGGGTCACCACAGTGGGGAGAGGGGTCCTCTCTGGGTGCCGGGAAAGAGCGCACTGAGTGGCTCTGGATGACAGGCAGCGGGGAGGCAGTGGGGGGAGGAAGTGCTGGGAAGGAAGGGCCGACCCAGCCCCCGGCCAGGCCGCGGGAGCAGCCTGGAGAACCACAAGGAAAGTGACTGCGCCACCATGTGGGCTGCAGGGGCCAGCCTGAGCTTGGGAGGCACAGAAGCACTCTGAGCCCGCACAGCCTGCGGTCAGGAGTTCCACGGTGACTTACAGTGCCCTGCCTCCACCTTTGTTTGATTGATGGTCACATCATGGAGCCCAGGCTGGCCTCGAACTCTGGGCAGCCACCTGCCTCAGCCTCCAGAGTGCTGGGAGGACAGCTGTGCACCCCACGCCTGGCTGTCACTGACTTCTCTGTCTTCGCAGCTGATGGCAGTGTCGCTGGGTGTCCCCTCACAGGGAATCCAGCAGCTCTCAGCCTGCGAGTCACTGCAGAGGCTGCAGTGGGCCTATGTGAGCGATGCTGGGCGAAGGCTGCTCTCGGCTGCCAGGGCCCAGGGCAGTGAGCTGCCTGGCACTCGATGCCCTGCTGTGCGGGCTGGAGTTCAGGTCCCAGCGCTGTTCCGTGCCAGGAAGTTCCAGCAGGAACTGGTGTTCTTTGAGCCCAGCCAGGGCATTGATGGGTCCCTGCCTGTCCCCCATAACCATGGCTACCAGGGAAGTCGGAGTTGGCACTCTAGCAGTGCTGTTTCAGAGGTCAGGACTGGAAACTTGGCGTAGTGGTGCACACCTGTGATCCCAGAAGCCAGGAGGCTGAGGCGAAGGATCTCCCCGAATTCAGGGAGTTCGAGGCCAGCGCCATCAGGGGATTTAGTGGCCATTTTCTTTGAGATTTTGAGTGGAGTTGCAGACAGTAGCCACACGAGGGCGCCCTCCCAGTCGGCCACCAAGGAGGCTGCGTCCTGTCACCACTTGTGATCCCTCCTTGGGGACCAGGCCCTGGGATGGATTTCCCTGCTAGCTGGGCCCTGACCATGTCTCCGGACCTGAGTCGCCCAGATAAGGTGCACAGGCAGGTGCCTCCAGCTCCTCACTCTGCAGTCCTTTGTGGCTTGAGGAGCTGGAATTACTCATGCTGAAGCGATGCAGGCTGGAGAGCAGCAAACAGCCTCCAAGCTGGGGAGGGGGGTGCATACCTGTAACCCTGGCTCTCTGGGAGGCTGAGGCAAGGGGAATCACAAGTTTGAGCCCAGCCTGGACAGTTTAGCCAGACCTTTATTCAAAATAGAAAAGCACTGGGATGCAGCTTGGCGTGCAGGCCCTCGGATTGATCCCCAGTGACCCAGAACAACAGCAAAACAGCACAAAACCCTCAGCTCAGCCTGGAAGCGTCTGTCCCAAATCCACAGCCACCGCTGTGGCCTGGGGCAGCCCCTGCCCTCCCTGGACCTGTTTCCCCCCAGGCTTTGGGGTTGTGCAGGCCGGCAAGGTCCGACTCTGTGATCCCTTTACACCTGCCCCCGAGGGTCCCTGAATCTCTGGCAGGGACTCTTCGGTCACTAGATTGAAGCCTGGTCTCGCCACATTTCAGAGAGACTGAGCGGGGCTGCAGGGAGCACACAGAGCAGTGGGGCAGGGCGTGGGGTCCCCTCCTGGAGCCCCCCCCAAGGACTCCCATGTGTGCTTTTTCCCCCAGGACTGCAGTGTCCTGCTGTCTGTGGAGCCCACTGACCAGGGCTGCTACCCGCTGAACGACCGCCTCTTCTGCAAGCCGTGCCACGTGAAGCGCAGCGCTGCAGGCTGCTGCTGAGACCCCGCCAGCCCAGCGGGCCTCCTGCCTTGTTCCCTCCCGGACCTGCTCTCCCACACTTTCCTTCCGCTCCTCTCCAGGGTGCTGGGGCCCGGCCTCCTCCCAGGCAGAGGCAGTGCAGGGTCCCAGGGACCCCAACTTTTGGTTCCCTCCCATGTGGACACCAGAAGGCTGCCAGCTGTCAACATCACACCCGTCCCCCAGATCTCTGGACCAACCTGTGCTGGGCCACGGGTCTCCCGGTGGCACCTGTGTCGCACGGGTGCTGGGCCAGCTGTGCATGCAGAGCAGAACTATTGGAGGGAAAACTGCAAGGTCACTACAAAGTGCTTTTGGTAGCCAGGCAAGGTGACACACACTAATAGTCCCAGGGCTAGGAGGCTGAGGCAGGAGGATGGCAAGTTCAAGCCCAGCCTGGGCAACTTAGCAAGTTAGTGAGACCCTGTCTCAAAATCAAAAATAGGGCTAGGCATGGTGACACAATCCCACACTTGGGAGGCTGAGGCAGGAGCAGCGCAGTGAATTCAAGGCCAGCCTGGGCTACATAGCAAGACCTATCTCAAAAACTCTAAATAAATAAATATTTTTAAAAATGGTAGAGGACATAGCTCAGTGCAGAGGCCAGAGCTCAACTGCCAGTATCAAAAGAAAACTGGTTTTCGAAAACGTTGAGGTTTGCACGCTGGGAAACAGCCACCTTGGATTTGGGTGAGTTTTTCTCCTTATGTCCTCCTGAGGCCTCTTGAGAGAGACCTCACCCCCGGCCCCCCACACGTCCAAGAATGCGGCCTCCTGGTATGTGGAGTGGGCCTGGGCCTGCACGGGCCAGGGGTCCACGGGCCAGGGGGGGCTCCAGCCCTTGGCAGACACCAGCACCAGGCCAGGGTGTCCCGCTGCCCCCAGTGGGCGCTGTCGCCCTGCCAGCACCCAGCTGTCCCTTCCCTGCTGCCAAGGCCACACCTGGAGGTTCGCCCCTGCTCCCCTTTGATTATTTTTGGAGCACCAGGAATCTAACTCGGGGCTGCATCCCATCCCTTCTTTAAAAGTTTTAAATTTTGAAACGGTCTCGCTGACTTGCCCGGGCTGACGGTGACCCTCCTGCCTCGGCCTGTCTCAGTGCTGGGAGCACAGGTGTGTGCCACCAGCCCAGCTTCCCTTTATGGTGTCCTTGCTTATGCAGCTTCATACCTTCTGTGACTCCATACAGAACACGTCAAACAACAGTGCTCCTGACCCAGGGGACACCCTGGTGGACAGCCTAGCACTCCCGGTGAGGCCTGGGTCTGCTACCCTGGGGACACTTCCCAGAGCCCTCGGTGCCCCAGCCGGAGCATAGCCACTGCTGAGCAGGGAGTGGCCACCCTGGCTGCAGTGCCCGCCCCACCTCCCCTCTTCAAGGGCTGACCGCTGCCGCCTCTGTGTTGCTCTCTCCTCCTGGCGTCCCCTTGCCCGCCCTGAGCCTTAGACCTGCAAGGCCACCTTCTTATACAGAGAATAAACACGTGCTGATGAGAAGCCCCGCTGTGTTGTCCCTGACCTCACACAGGGGATGCAGCCTACCTAGCCCTGCAGGCTGCGTGTAGAGGTATTTGTGGTGACACACACCTGTAACCCCAGTGCTTAGGAGGCTGAGGCAGGAAGATCGCTTTGAGTTTGAGGCCAGCTTGGGCTACACACAGCCAGAGCCAGTGTCTAAAAAAAAAAAAACCCAAGTGTGTTGGGCAGAAAACCCAAGTGTCTGCTCACTGTGGCCTGTGTGTCCCAGAGTGCCCACACCTTCTTCCCCAAAAGCCTGGGCTCAGCTTGGTCATCTCCCTGTGCACACTGGACACAGGCCACCAGCAGGAAACCCTGCAGGGCCGCAGCGCTCATCTTCCCTGTGAGCTGGCTTCCTTGCGATGTGCTGGGCCGAGACTGACCCCAGACACATGGTAGGAAAGGCCCTGGCTTTGGGGACTGACCCTCAGTCTCAGGGCCTCTGTGGGCCTCTGAGAACTGGGTGCAGCACTTAGGGCTGCATGATCACAGCTGCAGCTCCTTTTATCTGCAGACCTCGGGGATCACAGTGGCATTTGTCATTTATCAGTCACAGCCCCAGGAATGAGCTGCCTTGGTCTGCAAAGCAGGGAGACCTCATTACGCAGGACCCTGTAGAGCCCTAGACAGCCGGTGTTGGTAGCACACCCTAGCTCTTGGAGAGCTTCAGGAAGGGCTTGCTCCGGGCACCAGGTCAGTGGCAGCACAGCTGTGACTCAAAGCTTCACTCTGAGACTGCAGCTGCGACTCAGCAGGATGTGTGAGGTGGGGGTTCTTTTTTTTTTTTTTTTAACTTTTTATCGGTACCAGTGATCGAACTCACGACTGCCTACTTGCAAAGCAGGTGCTCATGCCTCATGCTGCTGAGCTAAATCCCCAGCCCCTCTTTTTTTTTTTTTTGTGTGTGTGTGTGTGTGTGTGTGTGTGTGTGTGTGTGTGTGTGTGTTTGAGACAGGGTCTCACTATGCAGTTCAAACTGGCTTTGAGCTCACTTTGTAGCCCAGGCTGGTCTCAAACTCACAAGGATCCTCCTGCCTCTCCTGAGTCTGAATAGTGTTGCTTTGGACCTTGACTCAAGGCCCACTGTCCAGAGTGACTGTCCAAGGTAGGGGTGGGAGGACCAGGGCGCCGCTTGTCTCTCAGTCACCGAGTTCGGTTTTGTTTTCCCCTAAGGCAGTGTAACTTACGGTTGTGATTCCTCATGTCCCAGCTCATTTCTTTGCGTCATTTTGGGTACCTGGGATCGAACTCACGACTCGCGCTAAATCCCTGGCTTTTGCCTCATTTTGAAACAGGCTGTCTCCCCAGACTGGCCTTGGAGTCGAGGCAACCCTCCTGCCTCAGCCTCACAGCGTGCGCCGCCACGCCCAGTGCTCACTCAGACCTCCCGGGAATTTGACGCTCACTACAAGGCGGCGAACCTCGGGACTGGCACTGAGATGAGCCAGTCACCAAACAAAACGACGGAGAAAGGGTGGCAGCCAGGGGTCGGTGGGGAGGGGGGGGTCCCGGGGACAAGGTCCCCGCTTGGGAAGATGGAGTCAGGGCTCAGCTGCACGCGGGCGGAGTGGCGTCTCTCCCCGCGTCTCCGTCCGCCCCGCGAGCCGGCGCCAGAGCAAGGCTGCGCTTAGACCGCAGGGCGCTGCAGCCCGGCGGGGCGGCGGAGGACGCAGACGCCCTGGAGGCAGGTGCGGCGCGCGGCCGCTAGAGGGCGCCGGGGGCCGGAACGGGCGGGGCGCCCGGGTTCCCACGCCTGTGAGCTCTGTGCGGTCCGGGGCCGAGTCCCGACCGCAGAGCCCCCAAACCCGCTGTGGGAAAGCCGGGTCCACCGCCTCTACATGTGGACGTCAGCCTTCCTCCCTGGCCGCCCTTTGAGCTGGGTACAGTGCCCATGGGGATCCTTGGTTGTTCAGATCAGTAAAATAGTTTGTTGTGTAGTTTTTATTAGGTTTTGTTTTTCTTTTTTTTTTTTTTGAGGGGTGGCGGACAGGGTGTCACGCAGTACAGACTGGCCTTAAACTCACTATGTAGCCAAGGCTGGCCAGGAACTTACATCGATCGTCCTGCCTCAGCCTCCTAAGTGCCAGTATTACAGGGGTGAGCCACTACGTGCAGCTCAGAATGGGTCTTTGTGTTGGGGTGGCGGTGGGGAGGGGGCGGTTCTGCCTGGCAGGAAGCTGGATAGTGGCCTGGTGGGGCAGCCTGCCTGGACCAGGGTTCCTTGCGGTACTGCAGGGCAAGAAGTGGCACCCAGGGCACAGAGAAGGTGTGAGAACTGCAGAGCTCACACAGCTAATGAGGCTGGCTGGTGGGTGGGAAGCCAGATGGTGACGGTGTCCTGGGGCCAAGACTGGCTTCCTTTCCTGCCCTGGGGCCCCTGACCCCTGCACCCCTGTCTGAGACCTGGGAAGTTTCCATCCACTGAGGCTGCCTGGGCTGGGCCTGTCCGGGACATGACAACAGGAAGCTGTGAAGGGCCACATGCTTAAGTGCCCAGTACCATACTGTGTCCCTCCTCCAGGGGACAATCACATATGGTGGGGACCCATGGCTGTGAGGACCCAGACTTGCACAGAAGGGCTGAGGGTCCAGATTGGACCCAGAACACTTGCCTAGCAGGCATTAGACCCTGAGTTCCATTCCCAGCATTGCCAGAAAGATTAAAGGTAAGTATGTGACCCCAGCACTCAGGAGGCTGAAGCAGGAGGATCTCATTTTGAGGCCAACCTGGACCAGATAGCAAGTTTAGGGTCAGTTTGGACAGAAACCCTGTTGCAAAAATAATAAAAATAAAACCAAAAGATATGGCTGGCGGGTGGTGCATTACTGTCCACTGTGGGCACAGGGTCAGCAGGCAAGGAATCGGTGCCATCACTGCTGAAAGACTGAGAGACCCATGGGGCGGGAGGGAGGAGAGGGGATCTTTGGCCTGCGGATGGCAGCGGGGAAGGGGAGGAGGGATCAGTGGATGGGGGGAGGTTCTCCCCAGACGCTTAGCCGGGGTGATTTAAACCGTGTTGGAACCAAGAGTCCCACAGAACTCTTCACTGTCACAGACCGCTGACCTTCGAGAAATCCCAGCCATCTCTGCCCAGGCTGAGTGTGTTTGCAGAGGGCTAGAGAAGGCTCTAGAAAAGGGGCATTGTGCCAGGCACGGCAGAGCAAGCCTGTAGTGCCAGCACTCCGAAGGCTGAGCCAGGAGGGTCATAAGTTTGGGTCAAGCCAGGCGACCTAGCAAGTTCAAGGCCAGCCTGGACCACATAGCAAAGTCTCTCAGAAAGTCAAAGAGCAGTGAGGGTTTTTGTGATTAAATTCAACCACTGGCACCCAGTTCCACGCGTGGATTGTTTATTTAATTATCTATTTAAACTATCTAATGCAGCTGGGCATGGTGGCACATGCCTGTAATCTCAGCATTTAGGAAGCTGAGGCAGGAGGATCATTGCAAGTTTGAGGCCAGCCTGGGCTACAAAGTGAGCTCAAGTCCAGCCTGAACTGCATATTGAGACCCTGTCTCAAAATGACCAAAGAAGAAAATTATTTAATGAAAAGGAATCATGTCTTCCTTTTGTATTATTGTTTTTGTTTTGAGGCAGGGTCTTGCTATGTAGTCCAGGCTGGCCTTGACCTCACTGCGTTGCCCAGACTGGCCTCAAACTCACAGTGATCCTCCTGCCTCAGCCTCCCAGATACTAGGATTACAGTGTGTGTGTGCCTGGCTGATGACTCCAGAAAGGACTCCCATCCCCCAGCCGTCCCCCCCTCCCCCCTCCCGGCCCTGGGAGCTGGTCATCTCCTCTGTGTCTACAGACTCACCTCCTGGGCCCTCCTATCCACAGCGTCATGCACCCCGTGGGCCGTGAGCTGGCTTCTGTCACGGGTGTTTCCTGGGTTCGCCTGCGCTGGGGCACGTGTGTCACACTGCATTCCTTCCTATTGTGAAATAATTCCTATTGTCCGAGCATGAGTCAGCTGTGCTGTTTGCCCCTTTGCTTATCCGTGGACACACAGTGGCTTCCTGATTTGGGTTATTATGAACAGTAATGCTACTACCCGCGTTCAGTTGCAGGGCTCTGTTTATTTTGTTCGTTTCTTTTTTTTTACAGCCCTGGGAATCAAACCCAGGGGCCTTTGCACTGAGCTACTGCCCAGAATTTTTCTTTTCTTTTCTTTTGGAGGGGGCGGTCCCAGGAATCAAACTGAGGACCTCAGGCTTGCCAGGCAGGTGCTGGGTCACTCAGCTCAATCCCCAGCCCTCTCTTTCCTTCCCTTTCCTTTTGAAATGGGGTCTCACACACACAAAAAAAGGTTTAGTAATAAGCTACAAAAGAAAGAAAGAAAGAGGTTCTCGGGGCTGGGGATTTAGCTCAGTGGCATAAGCGCTTGCCTTGAAAGCAGGCAGTTGTGCGTTCGATCCCTGGTAACGATAAAAAAAAAAAAAAAAGAAATAGGTTCTCACTAAATTGCTAGATTACCCAGACTGGGCTTGAATTTACAGCCCTCCTGCCTCAGCCTCCCAGGGCTGGGATATAAGCATATGCCACTACAGTGAACAGTGAACATAGATCTGTACAATTGAGGAGACAGAAAAAAACAAAACTAAAGAGGAAGCTGCGGCATAGGCCAGCTGGGATTAAGGGCAGCCGCTCCCTACCCTCCCCCTCCTGGGTCACTGTCACCTCTGAGCTCTGTACTCAGGGTCTCTGGAGCCAGACTCTGTGCTCAGGTGTCCTGGCCCCACCCCCCACTGACATGGGAGAAAGGAAATCCGGGGAGAGAAGAGAGCCTGGTGTGTCCCTGGAAGGTGAGGCCGAAGTCCCAAGTCTTGCTGATGGCCCTGTTTTATGATTCACGGGAAGGCGCCGTGCAGTCTGGTAAATTTCTCCTGACCGATGTCCATGCGGCCATGGGACAGAACCCTGGGGCTTCCGCTGGCCTTTGAGGAGCCGACACGTTCTAGGGATGGGACCTGGAGACAA